GGCCACGCGTCTCTGCAGCTGGAAGCAGCTCCTCGGTGCTGACTAAAGCCCGCGAGAGGGTGGATGGCTCCGTAGGGCCGTGCAGAGGACCCTGCTCAGGGACTGGCCCTGCCTTGTCTCACCTGGATCTGGCTCTCCCGCCAGCTTTTCTTCAAGGGAAAGGCGTATCTGTGCTGCCCAGAGATGCTTTGTCCCTCCACTGCCTAGATGGTGGGCCCAGACAGGGTGGCCCTGCTTTCCTGGGACTCAGGGTTAGCCAGCAGTTGACGAGAGGACGGTTCTGTCTCAAGGCAGGTCTGAGGCTTCTCAAGCTCTGGGCAGGGATCTCACCTCAACTGCAGGTGCACCGAGGCTTTGGGGTGGGGCCGTGGCACCTGGGGTCTCAGGGAGAGCTGAGTCAGGTCAGGTGAGGGGGACAGAGAGGGGGAGAGAGCAGGGGGTCCAGGAAGAGCCGCCGGCCTGCAGGGTGCACGTGCTGTGTGACGAAGCCAGCCCTCGGCGGGAGGCCTGGGCCAAATCCATGAGGACGAAGGCATCTGTCCCTGGAGCGTGACTCGGGGGTCTGTGGGCTCCCACGTGCTGCGGTGACTAGCAATGCCTGCCGTGGTCAGAGGAAGGCAGGACGTGGCCGCACACCTGCCACGGTGTGCCCTCCTCTGAAGTTCCGGGGGTAAAGCTGTGGTGGAGAAGAGCCAGTGGGCCCGAGTCCTGAACCCATGCTCAGCTGCCAGTGCTGCCCGTGGCAGCGGAGTCAGAGGTGCAGAACAGGCGTGGCGGAATGCCTTCCTCTCCCACCAGGAAGCCCCTTCCCTGCAGGCTCAGGAGACGGGCCGGGGGTGAAAAGGGCACTCTGAAGGCACCTGGAGCAGACTTCCTGCCTCTGGAGCCTCGCTGTGGCTCCGGGGCCTTCCTCTGCCAGAGACCCCCAGGTCCTGCCCTGGCCCCCAAGTAGTACCTGCTCCCCGTCCTGGCGGGCACTGCAGGCAGAAGCCCCTCTGCCCATCCTAAAGGCCTGGGCGGGTGTCCTGGAGTCCAGCCTGAGCCTCCACGGCGAGCCTGGCCCCAGGAGAAGAGCCAGGCAGAGCCAAGGTGCAGGGCGCCCAAGTTTCCTGGGTGCTCATGGACGGCCACTTAACCAAGGGCTGGGCTGGCACTTGTTCCCCCGTGTTCTGTGGGGCACAGCAGCACAGCCCGTCATCCAGCTACTCGGGAGGCCGATTGAGGAGGGGAATCGTGGGCTCTCTGAGCCTAGGCAACTTAGCAGACTCCCACAATAAAGAGGGCGGGGTGTAGCTACGGTGGGGTGCCTGCCTCACGGGCGCAAGGCCTGGGTTCCGTCCCCAGCGCCACAGGCACAAGAGTCAAAACTGTGTCTGGACTCTCGGCAGGGTGGAGGCAGGGCTCCCCTCTCTTGGGGGCTCCTTTCCTTCCGGCCTCCCAACAGGCACCCCTCAGGAGCAAGCAAGATCTGCAGACGGCAGGTGACCCCGGGTGCACGCAGCCCAGCTCTGGGGCACCTGCCGGGGCACCCACGTCTTCAGCAGCGGTTTTATCGAGTCTGTGTCTGACGGATGTTGGTGCCCTGGCACCTTTCTGGGGCTGCTTGGCTGTTTCTGTCACTGACCTACAGAGGTTCTCCTCATGGTGCCTGCGTCTGTGGTCACACACCTCGTGCCTGTGTGCACAGGGCACCAGTGCAGGAGCAGGAGGTGCTGGCGCTCACTGACACCCTCCGTGCGGACACACACCTTCCTCTTGGGGTGCAGGTCCCCCGGCTCTGGTCCGAGCTGGGCACCATTCTGATCATCCATCCTCGGCTTCCTTCGGTTGCATGGCCTCCTGGCTGGCCAGCCTGTGCCTGGGAACTCCCTGTTTGGCCTGTGTGTGCAGCGCCCTGCAGGAGGACCCAGCTGCCTTTGCCCACTGGGTGCCCGGCCCCAGCTGGCGTCTGCCAGTAAAGTGCCTCCTCCTGGCTGTGGACGTCAGCTCACACCATCCCAGCTGGGCAGGGAGACCTGTCCCAGGCACATCTCTTCCCACAGTGTGGCTCAGAGAGCGCGGGGTCACGGAGCTCATCCAAGTTTTTGGCGGCCACCTCCGCTCCAGGTGGCAGAGCTGGTCCTGGGGGCCACACCCACAGGGCCTGCTGGGCGAAGAGGATCAGCCTGTGTGCAGGGCGGGAAGAGCACATGGAGTGGCTTGCCCTGCCTCTTGTCAGAGAAGACGCTGGACGCCACCTGCCCCCACCATCCAGGTCCACCTGGGAAAGGGCTGTGAGCCACACTGGGCCCTGCTGCGTGGACTCTGCTGTACTCACTTCCTGTGGCCGCAGCGGCCCCCATCAGGGTCTTTGCAGAAACCCCCAGAGCCCGTCGTTTGTACAGTGAGTGTGCATTAGTAACCGTGAGGAAGCCCCGGAGTCCTGTGGGCGGGAGGCTTCCTCCAGGTCAGAGCCTGGGCTGCCCCCTCTTCTGAGCCAATGCAGGGTGAGCAGCCCGAGGACAGCGAGCTCTCCAGCCTGGGCGCGGAGTCCCCAGGCTCACCTCCCAGTGCTCAATCTCTTGATCACTGTGTGCCTCCTGCTGGGGGCCTACCCCAGACCCTGGGACAAAGGTGACCGGGAGCTTCCTGGGGGACGTTGAGACGCTCAGTCTCTGGGTGGAGGCCTCAGGAACACTCGCCTGGGCAGCTTCGAGTCTCCCTTACCAACTGACAACCCTGTGAGGCAGGAGTTCCCAGCAAGAACCCGGGAGTGGAGGGGACCGGGCCCAGCTGCCCAGCAGCCGTGCGGTGCAGCCTGAGGTCAGCCCTGGCTGAGACAGTGGCAGGTGTTTTGTCCGCACTGAATGGTGGCTTAGAACCTCACAGGTCACTGGTGGGACTGGAGGGAAAGTTAAGGGCACAGGGTCTCCCTTGGGGGTGATGCAGTGTTGGAGGTGATGGCTGCACACGCGCTGAAGGCCAGTGGGTGGTGTCCCTCCATGTCATGTGACTTCCACTTGGTGAGGGAAAAGTAAAAAGAAAGAAAACCTGAAAAAGTCTATTTGGCATGAGGTTTTCAGGATGAGTGCAGACAAAATGGACTGTTGGCTGGGAGGGGGTGGCCGATAGAGGCCACGGGTCCCCTTGGGGCAGGAGCACCTTGGACAGTGGCACAGCTCTGCGTGCCTGGGAACCACCCTGAGGCGGGTGCAGGCCTGTGGGTTCTTTCTCAGTGAAACCGCTGTGGCCAAGGAGACCCAGGGACCATGGGAGAGGCTGGCGGCTGGGCGGTCAGTGAACTCGGGGGTGCGTCGCTTGCCTTGGGTCCTTGGCCACCCAGGCTCCCTGAGGCTCCAGCCAGGCCTGGTGTCTCCCCAAGGGCAGGCCATGTTGGACCAATGCATTGTCACCTTTGCCACCTTGCAGACCTCAGGGCACCCCGCTGCTCTTGCTGGTTAGTGGGGCTGTCCATCTGGGCATCAGAGGAGGCACTGAGCAGCGGCAGGCAGGGGTGGCCACCCTGAGGCTGCCAGACGAGTGTAGGTGAGTGTAGATGTCCCGCAAAGTCCCCAGGTGGGGACTGCAGCAGAGAGCCCCAATATTAGCACACATGCTGGTCATCTGCGCCCAGCAGGCCTGCAGCAATGGCTGACACCGGCTCATCAGAGACAGTAAGTCAGGTATTGATGAGTGCTTTATTAACAGGTTTATCTCTGACTCCCTGTCCCTATTTTGTGTGATTACAAACACCAGATTCTCAAGGAACTTCTAGAAGGTGGTCCTCATATTCCATGGGACATGCAGCCATAACTATGTTGAGAAATTACAGATTCTCCCATTTCCAAGAAATAAAACTATGCGAGGACAGAATCTTGCCAACGCTAAATTCCGGCCCAGGGCTTCCTCCCGGGTCTCTGGGGCTCCCTCCCAGCAGTATGGCGGAGCCAGGGCAGGAATGCCTGGGAGCCACGGGCTCCTCTGCCTTGCTTCATTCCCTGGAAGCATGTCTGGTGGCGGTTTATATTTCTGTGTCTGCATCCATGACAGAGTCACCTTCTCCAGGAAAGTTGTTCCTGTGAGCACCGAGGGATTTTGAAGAGAGCAAACCGGGTCTCTCCCAAGATTCGAGGGTTTCCAGGCTTAGCCCATGGACCCCTAGTGACAGGTGCTGCAGGGAGAGGGATCAGGCAGCTTAGGGCTACAGAGGACTCAGTGTGTCCCCAACAGGCGTCCAACCCAGTCCTGAGCATGCTGGTGTCAGGGGCAGGGCCTTTGGCAGGTGACCAGGTCATGAGGGTGCAGACCCCACAATGGGATCAGCGCCTTCTAAGAGGAGGCCCCAGAGGGTTCCCCGCCCCTTTCTCCAGGCAAGGACATAGTGGGAAGGTGTCATCCGTGCGCTAGAAAGCGGTTCTCCCCAGACGTGGAGCCTGCTGGCACCTGGATCTTACACTTGCAGTCCCCAGACTGGGGCAGTGGTGCTTTGGCCACTGTGGCCTTGGCCAGCCTGCAGGACTGAGTGGGAAGAGGCCGCCAGAGCAGAGCTGGGGGCAGCCCACAGCCGCCCAGCTTGCTTGCCGTCACAGGGCACTGGCGTCTCCTTCTGTCAGCGCGGAGCCCGCCCACCCACACCTAGGGTCGTCCTGGGCCAGAGTTGATGGGGGGTGCTGACAGGAGGGCATCGGGGCCCTCCTGCTGCAGGACTCACTGGTGTCCCCTGTCATGGCACCCCTGGGGTGTGGCACCACCCTGGCCTGGGCTCCCTGTGCACACATGCAGGACGCTGGTCGATAACGAGAACACGCACGTTCTGCAGCACATCTGACACGTCGGGGCTGGGGGATGAGTACCAGTGATGTTTGTTGAATGAATGAGAAAGGTCCGGAGGGCCGAAGGCAGCCGCAGCGCACCAGCCTCCACTCTTGGTCTTACTGGGTGTGCAGGATTGTGGGCACGAGGCCTCAACCCCACCACCTCTGCTTCCCGTCCCCCTTCTCATTCCTCCCGTATTCCCCCAGGACCTCCCACTCGCGGGCCAAGGCCGAGGCCGCCCTCACGGCGGCTCAGAAAGCGCAGGAGGAAGCCCGGATCGCCAGGATCACTGCCAAAGAGTTCTCTCCTTCCTTCCAGCACCGGGAGAACGGTGAGTCTGCTGCCCCCCAGGCTTCGAAGGCTGGGTGCATGCCGGGTGGTCAGGGCACCAGATGTGTCCCTGTGCCACAAGCCAGCTGGCCTCACACGGGTTCTGCCCCAGAAGCTGACATCCTACTGGTGGCCACCGCTTTTACTGGGGCTGCATGTCCCGGCAGGGCCTCCTCAAAATTTCAGGTGGCCCCAGGGTCCATGTGTCTGTTTCCAGGTGTGCTGCCTCTCCCTGTCTGCTGCCATCTTTCTAGAACATTCTGTGATAATGGATATTTCCCTCTGTTTGCTGTAATGTGGCAGCCACTAGCCTTGCGTGGTGAGAGACTAAGGAGCTGGCCCTAGTTTCATTCAGTCTTAACTTGTCTGCTTTTAGATGCAAATGGCCTTGTGTGGCCACTGGCTGCTGCATTGGCAGGTGAGGCTCTGAGTACTGGACAGCAGCTCCTTCCATGTCCCATCAGGTTCAGGAACCTCAGCCTTCCCTGCAGGGGCCCATGGGGACCGTGTGTTCTCTTCTGCACTCCATGCGACAGGCCCCAGGGTCATGAAGGCCTGCTGTGGAGTGTGGTAGAGGGCTGTGCTGGCAGAGGTCAGAGTCATGGCCCACTGGCTCCCAACCTGGCCTCTCTGGGAAGCCCAGGGGACAGGGCTCCCTCCTGTCTGCACCTCTGACCAGCACACGGGAGGGCTGAGTGGAAAGCTGCTGGCGTCTGGGGATGGATCCAACCCTGCAGCCCTGAGCTGCCTCCTGGCCTTGGGGCAGGGATGGAGCCAGGGGTCAGTACTGGGCCAGCAGACAAATTGGTCCTCACTATCTGTTTTCTCTGGTGTCCTGCCTGTACTGGCCCCAGGGTGCCTTCCCCAGGTGTTCCCGGCCCAGACATGGAATGTGGCCATCATCCTTCCGCATTCTTCCCTGGTGGGTGCAGGGTCCTGGCTGAGCCTGCCGCTCCTATCTAGAGGTACAGTCAGGAACACAGAGCACCCCTGGTCCCACTGCCTGTGACTGAGACGGTGGACTCTGCTTTGTCCTTGATGGGACCTCAGCTGTGACCTTGGGCTAGGAAATGGCGTCCTGACAGGTCTGCATTCTTGTGAGTTGCCCACCCCTCGTCCTTCAACCCCAGCCTCTTCTCTGGACACACTGGGCCCAGGTGTGTGAGCCGGGTGGACACAGGCCACCAGCCCTGTGCTCAGACCATTAGGCGCCTGGTGATACCAGCCACACGAAGAAGCCTGGAGGACTTAGTGCACAGTCCCCACCCATGGGTTGCCCAGGTCCCATGCACAGGTCGCAAGCCGACTCCACTGCTGGGGCCTGTTCTTGGCCTCTCAGAGCCTCAGTTTCTCCATCTGTGAGGGAAAGGGAGGGCCACAGTGTCTGAGGCTCCTGGGTGCACTGAATGGCCCAGGAGCATCGTCCACCTGCGGCTTGTTGGGAGGAAGGGCTACCTAGATGCAGTTAAGGCCAAGATGGGGAGGTGGGATCATCGTGGATCAGTAAAGCTCTAAATCTAGCCTGGAGTTCTCTTAAAATACCGCCCAGAGACATCCAAGCCAGGAGGGTGTGGCCACAGCCCAGGAGTGCTCACAGGAAGCCGCAGAGAGGCCAGGGGCAGATTCCCCTGGAGCCCTGGCAGAGCCCCACTGCAGCTTGGCTTCAGAACCCCACCCCTCGGACTCCCAAGAGAGAATGTCTGCTGTTGAATGCCTGGTGTGTGGCCCCTGGGAGCCCTGGGAGGCGGGTGCTGGGCCCAGGACCATGGGTCCGGCTGGCCAGGCCTTGGCTGCTGTTTCGGTCCAGAAGCTGGCTCCTGGAAGCGTCCCTCTTCCTCAGGACAGAACTGAAGCTCGGGCTGCTGAGGCAGCTTGAGCCTGGCTCCACGCAGACAGCATGAAAGGATCGAGCCCAGACTTGGAGCATGTGCAGCTCAAGGCCAGAGCCTTCATCTTGTGTCTTGCTCTTGGGCTCTGGAGCATGGGCAGCATCACAGGAGCGCTGTGGGCACTGGACACTTCCCAGCCTTGGCCCAGGGACCTGTCCACCGGGTCCTGCTTCCAGGAGCCTCTGGGGTTCTTGGCTGTGCTTCCTGGGCCTTCCTTCCACAGTGCCTCCTGCCAGGAGTTGGATCCTGCGTCTCTGATTAGTGCTGAGCCTTCTGTGTAGAGAGTACTACAGGCAAATGAGCCCAGACCAGGGACTGGGGGCCACTGAGGCCACTGGGCATCCTGCAGCTACTCCTCACAACCAGAAGCTGTGTCTCCTCTTGGCAGATGAAGCCAAGGTTGGGAGCAGTAGCTTGCCCGAGGTCCCGGAAGCCAGGAGGCAGAGCAGGGCCTGACTCCCCACCCTGAGCTGCACCTGCTCGGACAGCAAATCCCAGAGTTTCAGCCGGGGAGAGGGCCATCCCGTATAAGCCACCTGCACCTGGAGGACCTGCAGCCTTCACTGGGGAAGTGGGGACATCCAAACCAGGAGCCTGCTTTTCTGCCGGGCAGTGTCCAGTGCCCACAGCACTCTGTGATGCTGCCCATGCTCCAGAGCCCAAGAGCAGGACACAAGATGAAGGCTCTGGCCTTGAGCTGCACCTGCTCCAGGTTTGGCCTCGATCCTCTCATGACGTCTCCAGGAGCCACAGCTCTGCCGTTAGCTTGAGCTGCGCGCCGCCTCCCCACACGGCAGTTCTGGCAGTTGGGGTGCCAGCCTTCCTCCAGGCCTCACAGGAAAGGCCACAGGGCCACTTGCAGGCTCAGTGTCCCAGCTTGCCAGACCCCTGGTGTTTGGGCAAAGGATGGTGGCCCTCAGAAGCCCAACCCCAACCAAGGGGGTGGCGTGGTGAGGCACGATTATGGGGGCTCTGAGCGTGGGGCCCTGAAGGGAAGCAGGCGAGGTGGGAACCCAGGCTGGGAGGTGGACACACGGGTCTAGTGTGGTTCTGCAGGGACCCATCCCCAGCCTGGCTCTCTGTGTGGATACCAAGGTAGCCCCAGCCCTGTGACCACAGAGGACTAGTCACTGGAAGGGGCTCTGAGACTGCCTGGCCCACATCCCATGACTCACGCATGGGGACACCAATTTAGGGGGCTGCCCCTGGCCCAGGGCCACATGCCAGGGTCACCACCCTGCCCTGCTCACTGCTGCCTGGGCATCTGAGATGAGATCAGGGACACAGTCTTGTGCTGACATGTGAAGTGACTGTGCCACTGTCACTGGGGCCTGGCCTGTGTGGGGCTGAGGACAGCGATCAGAGGCTGAGTGCCAGCCCTGCGGAGGTCTGCTGGCCAAAGAAGTGTGGGTGCCTGGCTGTCTGAGCCTCCAGGCTCGGGCTGGGACTCGGCTGAGGCAGATGTCTGTTCACTATGGAGGCCTGAGCAATGCAGGGAGGGGCCGGACCTAGCCTCATGCTGGCCCCATGCTGGTCCTGATCCCAGGGGAAGGCACAGGCCTGAGGCAGGTGGGGTTGGTAGTCACACCATGACACGCCTGGCCTCACCAAGCCTCAGGACCTGTAGGAGGCCAGCCAGTGTGTGATGAGGGACCAGGCTGAGGGCTGTCCACTGCCATTGCTGTGACCTGGGGCCACCCAGGCATCCTTAGAGTGCACGCTGGGTAGCGTGCCCCACCAAAGGGCCCTGGGAGCCACTATGACCAGTCTCTCCCTCTGCCCCTGCGCCTCCCCTGAGCAGGGAGCACCCTGCCCCGGGACCTTCCTGAGCAGGGGCCTTGGAGGAGCAGGCTCAGGGTGACCCCCACTGTGTCTCTTTCTCCTCACCAAGGGCTGGAGTACCAGAGGCCGAAGCACCAGGGCTCCTGTGATGACATCGAGGTGCTGTCCACCGGCACACCGCTGCAACAGGAGAGCCCCGAGCTGTACCGCAAGGGCACCACCCCTTCAGACCTGACCCCGGATGACAGCCCGCTGCAGAGCTTCCCCGCCAGCCCCGCAGCTACGCCTCCGCCGGCCCCCTCCAGGAGCAGGGCGGCCCACTTCTCACGACAGGTCTCAGTGGACGAGGAGAGAGGCGGGGACATCCAGATGCTCCTGGAGGGCCGGGGAGGGGACTACACCCGGAACAGCTGGGGTGAGGAGAAGGCAGGGGGCTGCAGGGGCGTTCGCAGCAGCGCCCTGCGCAGTAGCCAAGGTACCGAGGACTTCCGCACCCGGGGTGCGGGCCACAAGCAGCCCGGGAACCCCAAGCCCCGGGAGCGGCGGACGGAATCCCCCCCAACATTCTCGTGGACTTCCCACCACCGGGCGGGCAACCCTGGCTCCGGGGGTGCCAAGCTGCAGGAGCCCGACGAGGAGCAGCTGAGCAACTACAAGCTGGAGATGAAGCCTCTGCTGAGGATGGACTCCTGCACACCAGAGCCGCACCCCCAGAGGAGACGCCACGGCCGGGGCGCGGGGGGCGACCGGCGCTCCGAGGACCGGGGCTTCGGGCTGCAGAGACTGAGGTCCAAGTCCCAGAACAAGGAGAACCTGCGGCCGGCCTCCTGCGTGGAGCCTACCGTGCAGAAGCTGGAGAGCCTGCGGCTGGGGGACCGGCCTGAGCCTCGGCTGCTGCGCTGGGACTTGACCTTCTCCCCACCCCAGAAGTCTTTGCCTGTCGCACTGGAGTCCGATGAGGAGAACGGGGATGACCTCAAGTCCAGCACAGTAAGTGGCGGCCTCCCGGGCCCCAGGGGTGGGAATCCAGTGTTGTCCCCCAGCTTCTGACCTGTGGCCCCCTGAAGGTCTCTCTCGAGCGCCTGTCCAGGGGTGGGTCTCCTATTGCTCTGGGTCAGTGGCGAGAGGAAGGCAGAGGACCAGGGCAGAGTGCCTCAGTGGGCTGGCCCTGAAGACCTTTCGTCTGTGCTGGACGCAGGGCCAGGCACTCTCCGGGCCATGGGAGGAAGCAGATGTCTGTGCTGCTCCCAGGAAGCCAGAGTCCAAGGACAGCCCCTGGGTGTCCCCGTCGCTCCTGACCTCCTTCACCCGGCAGCCACGGCTCTCCCCATTCTCCCGGCACGTCCCCATCCTGACCTTTGGGGTCAGGCTCAGACCATCCAGGTTGCTCACACCCTGTGGGAGGCCGGGGCGTGCTCCCATTTGAGGACCTCACATGAGACTCATGCTTCATCCGGGCAGATCTTCCCCACCTGAGTTCCCTGGGAGGGTGGGCATTTTGGGGGAAATAGCCCCTGCCTCAGAGCCAGACGGGGCTGGGGGTCTCAGGGTCTTGCACAGGTTATACCCAGAGGGGAGCCAGGACCTGCTTCCTTGGCTGAGGGCCATGTGGATGCAGGGTAGGTAAAATGGAGAAGGCCAGAGGTCTGCGGCAGGACGCCAGCCTGCCTGCCCATAGGCACAGGCAATGCCCAGACCTCTTCGTTTCTTTCTTCAATGGTAAAAAAAAAAAAAAAAAAAATTCTAAAGGCTGCTACTCCACAGGGCAGACAGGAGATGGGCTCACCCAGGCGGGGGTGGGACCCACAGTGTGGGCTCAGGAGGGGGCCCCCTGCAGGTGTGTTGCCGTGGCTACAGCAGGGCTCCTGAGCGATAGTCTCTGTTTACCCCAAAGGTACTGCGGCCTGCGAGGCCACTTCCGCAGGTCCCTAAAGCGCCTCCCCTCCTGAGACACCCACAGCAGCCCGCGTGGCTCCTGCTGGCACTCACGCTCATCCTCCCTGTCGCAGCAGCCAGGGTGCCTGCGCGGGGCTATTTTGGGATGGAGGAGTGATGGGCAGGGGTGGGAGGTGCAGATCGACGCTATATTTAGCCCACTGAATCTTTTGGGTGCTTTCGACACTAAGCCCCCTCTGGTTGGCGTGCCAACGTGGGGCCAGCCTCGGCCAGCTCTGGAGTGGGGTGGCTGCAGGCAGAGGCAGGGGCTGCAGCCCAGCCATGGCTGGTATTCCCCCTCAGCCCCAGGAGCCAAGATGGAGACTCCAGGGCCTACCCTGGGGTCCCAGCTTCCTGCCCAAAGCAGGCAGGGTCTTGTTCACTTGCTCCCACAACCTGGGGACATATTCTGGGGGCTGTCACTGGGTCTGAGGGGAGGTGGCCTGCTCCACCAACATTCATGGTGGGGAAGTGAGTGGCTGTTGGGGTGACGTGGGTGCTGAGGTCCTTGAGGCCTGCTGCATCCCCTCCCTGGGGCACAGCTCTCCACAGTTCAGGCTGCTCTGGGCTGGCAGCAGGGCCAGAGGTGGATGTCCTGTCCAGCAGCATTCCCCTCATCCAGGGACTCTACCCCTTACCACAGTTAGGGTAAGTGGGCAGAACGGCAGTCCCCGCCCTGATGGAAGCATCTGATCTACCGGCTTCTCTGGGGCTGTCTAGGGTTCCTTGCTGTGAGGGCAGCAGGGGTGGAAAGGAACCTGGCCATGCAAGGCCCCAGGTCCTGGCAATTCAGGGTGAAGTTATCGTGGACAGGAATGTCCAGGCTTTCCCTCCGGCTCTGCCAGCAAGTGAACTCCACAGCCTCCACTAGACCCTTGAGTGTTTCTGGGCCTGATTCCCTGTAGAAGAAAGGCTGTGGCACAGGTGCCAGCTCTGGACTCCCCCATGGCAGGGGACAGCTAAGGTTCAGCAACCTGGTTGATTCCCAACACCGCCCCCCCCTCCCCCCCGCAAATCTCTGCTGCCCAGAGTCCAATGAGCAAACTCAATGCCAGGCTGTGAGCTGCAGGGCAGGGTAGGCAGCCAGACCAGGGTGCCCCTGCCTACAATGCAGATGGAGCCCAGTGGGCCAGTGGATCTGGGGGCCACAGAGGCCCAGCTCCAGAGCTGAGTGGGCCGGACACCTGAGGCTGGGTTCTGAGGGCATCTTTTGCAATCGTGGGTGAGTTGGCTGCCGGCTGTCCAGCTCTCAAAGACCCTTCGTGAGGAGTGGCGTGGTGGCACACTCTCCATCAGCACCCTGCCTCACAGAGCGTCCCAGGCCCTACAAGAGCTGTGTCACCACAGGATGACAGCCAGCAGCATTAGGCAGCCTTTCGACAGGATAATAGTGCACACCCAGCCCTGTGAGCCAGGAGAGGGAGGGCGAGGGCCTGGCCACCAGGTATTGGAAAGGTGAGCACCGGGAGCCGGGGCAAGAATGGACCTTCCTTGACCACAAGGACAACCATGTCACTCAGCTGGCCATGCAGCTGGGAGAACTGCCTGACTTGGGGACAGAAAGAGCCTCAGGCTGGCTGGCAGCCAGACAGGAGGAAGGCGAGGGCACGATCAGGCTGCTCCTCTGCAGCTGGGTATGGGGAGCCCACATGTGCATGGGAGGGGCTGCAGCTGTGCCTCCAGGACACCCCAGGGTTCAGGTGGCCCTGTGAGACTGCATCTAGAGGACTGTGAAGGAGCCACCTCCTCCATGAGGGGGTACCCATCGTTTTAGCTGACAGCTATGTTGAGAATTCACACACCAGACGGCTCACCTGTCCAGGGCAGGCAGTTGGTAGTTTTGGTGTATTTAGGCTGTGTACCCATCACAACTGTCCGACTCTCGACTACTGCCATCCTCTGTAAAGACACTGCAGACCACTGGGCCGTCCCTCTGTCCCCACTCTGGGACTTGCCCCTGCTGGACGTTTCACACTGATAGGATCATATGGTGAGCAGCTTTTTGCTGGGCTCTCCTCACCCAGCATCAAGACCCGGCCCACTGTTGGGGCACACGCCAGCTGCACTCCTTCCTGTGGATACCCTCTGCACGGGCAGCCACATCTGCCATGGCTGCTCACGTCTGAGACGCATGGTGTGCTGCCACTTTCTGGCCAGTGTGCTGCTGCCACGAGCAGCCGTGAGGCTTCTGCGTGGATGCGTTTCATTTTCATTTCTCTTGGGTCCTCACCTAGGAGGGAACCCTTGGGGGAACTGCCAGACTCCTCCAGCCTCATCTGAGAAGAGCAGGCGTTTCCTTTCCGGGGAGAGGCATTCCAGCCCCCTCCCTCGCCTGTATTGCAAGCCTGATGCCACCAGGTCCTGCCCAGTCTGGGAAAACCAACCTCATCATGGCTCTGACATTTGGACACAAGGGGAGGAGAGGGGCAGGGAAGCAGCTTGGGACCCTAGCGCAGGTCATCTCCACTCCAGGAGATGTGGAGGCTCCCAGCCACTTCTTTACTTGGGTGTAGCCTGTGTGTGTGTGTGTGTGTGTGTGGCAGGGGGCAGAGGTCTTCTGGGATCAGGCCACCACTATGGGCACACCCGGGGCTGGGCTGCTGTGCCCCCCTCCAGGAGGTGGCCTGCCCCTCCCTGGTGCAGCAGGTCACTGTGCCTTCAGCACTGCGGTGACATTGGTCTTGAGGAGCAGCCTCACAGGACAGAGCTGCCAGCATCCTCTCCTGTGGTCTACCTCAGAGGCCTTGCCTCCACCTGTCCCTGCCCAACAGGGGCAGCCTGCAATTTAAGGGCCAGGGCCAGGCACTGACGCAGGGCATGGGGAGGGCTGGGCTGCACCTGAGACAAGCACCCTGAATGGAGCCTGGAAGCTGGGCTCCTACAAGAGTCTGGTGGCTTTGAAGTCAGCTGCTGCGGTTGCTCAGGGGCGGTGGCTTGTGAGTGTGAGTGAATTAATGGGAAGGTGACTTCACGGAGGACTGCTGAAGGGCTCTGAACTTGAGGGCCACTCGGCGTGGGAGCACAGCTGGTGCTGGCTGGCCACCGCGAACGGGCGGGTGCTGTGAAACCATGCTTCGATGTCCTAGCAGCTGGAGGCATCTGTTGACTAAGCACTGTGACACAGGGTGTTTGGGGAGCCTCCACGCCAGCACACATGGTGACCCACCTGTGCTCTCTTCCAGGGCTCAGCTCCCATCCTGGTGGCCATGGTGATCCTGCTCAACATTGGAGTCGCCATCCTGTTCATCAACTTCTTCATCTGAGAGACTGTCCCGCTCGCAGAAGCAACGGTATGCAAAGGGGAACTGGAAAGGGAACGCCCCGCTCGGACAGCCCCAGGACTTCCAGTCTTTTCACAGAAGAACACCACGGTTGGGTATTACTCACAGTTTGCCTTTTTTTCTGGGTAATGTTTTTTGGATTTTAGCCAAATTCTTTGCTTGTGTAACACTATGCTGTGTGGCATGGCAGAAGGAGGCCAGCACGCCGACCCTCCCGCTTGACGTGGAAAGAGAAGGGATCCGGCATACCAGCGGCAGAGAAGTCGTGGTCCTCGCCCTTCCCGCTGGGTGTGGACAGAGGTGGCGGTCGAGGAAGCGCTCACAGGGTACCCAGCTAGCCAGGCTAACACGGAAGGCCGAGTGACTTTGCTTTCCTCTGTCTGAGCAGCTGGCCTTGAGCATGGGCGCCAAGCATGGGGAGTAGGGTGTCCTGTCCTGCTGGGAGCAGCCCAGGCCTTTTTCTACTTCAAATCTGTGCTGCATCCTCAAGGGGAAGGAGAACCACGCTTCTCTTCTCCCACACACCAGACCACGGCCTCCCTCCTCTTGGCACTGCCCCATGGCCTCCTTGTGAGGCCACCTCCCCACACCGAGTCTTAACACAGAGTCCTCCCTGCCCCACCCTACCCACTCACCGTCACCGTCGGCCGTCCGCTCAGCACACACAGGGAGGCTGTGCTGCAGGCGTCCGGGGTGACCCAGATCTGGCTGGCACAGCCAAGTGCTGCGGGGCTGTGCCCCAGGCGTGAGGGCTGGGGCCCACTGTGCCATGGACAGTCTGACATCATGCCTGGGCTCTGAGCATGTGGCACTTTTGCACTTAGTATGCAGGATGTATATTCAGGCTTCCGTCCCTGGCAGTGACGCCCCAGAAGCTGTCACCTCTTGCTGTTACCTCCACGGTTCTCACATCTCTGTACTGTGCCTGCCTCCACTTCCCCAACAGATATGCATATTCCTTCCAGATGCCTCAGTGCTACTCCAGCGCAGTTCTGGCCCCGGGACAGGAATGTCATTGAAACCCAGTGGCTTGACTTTCCTAGACGTTGTTGCATACCTGACACCTCCCCAATGTGCAATGTTCAACTCGTTTCGGTCAAACAAAAACAGGTTCCTTACGTTTCTGCCTTCTCTATCAGGGTCGTTCCATTATCCAAACAAACGAGGGATGCCAGACCGCCTGGTGGCCGAGGGCAGCCCAGGCGTGTCCGTAGGCAGGAGCCTGCGTGCATGCCTGGGAGGCCGGCGCTCGTCCGTCTCATGGACCCTGCCTTGCTTTGCTTACGTTAGCCGTCTCTGCTGCCTTTCGAGCAGAGCTTCTTTACTACACTGCACTGGATTGCTATATTTTTAACCAGAAATAAACTAAAGATTAGAGCATGTTGCAGTCACATTCAGTTTCTATTGTTTTCCGTTATCCATTCACTCCCCGTTCCTTCTCACAGTTTGGTCTGGGGGGCACAGGAGAGGGAGGGATGCTCAGCAGATGATCCATTTCTGACAATGTTCCTTTCTAAAGGGATATTACATCTTTTGTACATCTTTCCGTTCCTCTTTTTTAATATCAAGTGGTTGCTGCAGACCTGAAGTGAACCAAATAAAGATTCCTGCTCTTTGCAGCTCTAAGAATCATCCATGTTGGGATGTGTTTTGTAATTGTTTGCAACTCTTTGTAAAAACAATGAGACTTCTTTTGTACATTCCAGTAACTGCATGACACAAAGGGGACCTACAAACGTAGGTGGTTCCTTGCAGGCCATGCCACAGGTATGTGAGAAGCAGAGCACAAACCTGAGGCTGGGCAGGGGCACATGTGCCTCCACACCCATGCTCGCAGATGCTTGGCCAGCACAGCACTCTCTGCTGCCAGTGACACCACCGACAAGACCAGACCCTGCCCAGAGCTTTGTCTGCAGTCTGCAGCAACTGCAGAGGGGAAGCCATCTCCCCTGTTCCTGGTGCAGTCCGAGGATCTGAGCAAGGCCAAGATCCACTGGGTCTGGCATCTAGACAGCTGGTTTCCAGCTGGTGCATGCACCGGTGGCTGCACCTGTCCAGAACCCCCACTTCCCCCACAGGGTCCTGGTGGGCCATTGTGGGGCCAGTTGAGCACGGCAGCAGGCAGGGCCAAGCACCAGGTCCCACTCTGGCTCCCAGTGCACAGAGCCACATCCTAAGAACCATTTTTCTTCCTGTCAGCCTCTTGCCTGCTCCAGGAGGGGAAACCAGATGCAGAGAGGAACCTCGTGTCTTTCCTGAGACCCTGCTACTGGGCTGCCGGGAGTGAGAATGACGCTGTGTTCCCACAGCTGAGCAGTGTCCTTCATGGAGACTTTGAGGACTCCCTGCACACTGGACTTCTGTCAGTCATGTAACACGCATGGGTCATTCCAGAAAAGCGCTCATCCATCTTTTGGATTCTAGGTTTTGTAACTGCTAGCACACAGGTTCCCCAAAGATAAAGATGAAGCCTGCAGCACAGAGCCCGATGTAACTGAAGGGGAAGACAGTGGCACGGGAAGTTCTGCATGGTGCCCCAGGGCAGTGCTCACTGCCCAGACTCTTCAGGGGTGGGGCCCACAGGGACACAGCCTGATGCTCCTTCTGCACAGCCCAGTCCATCGCCCAGCCAATAAACTGCTCTTTTTTGAAACCCTGCTGCACGAGTGTGAGCAGACAGACAGTCCTCCCTGGATGCACTAAGCCCAGGATTCCTCAGTGAAGTCTCAGGCCAGGCTGCGCTGGCTCCCCCACCACACCTTCCTCAGGCTGTGGCACTTGGACAGGGTGGCCACACACCCTGGCCCCAACCTCCCTGCTCCTCTTCACCCGCAAAATGGCTCCAGTTTAGACAGACTACAGGGCACCCCACATGAAGACGGAAGGACGTGGTCCCGAGCCTGCAGGTGCCAAGCCTGAGGTACTGGGTGCCGAGAAGAGCATCTGGGAGACACAAGAAACATTTCGGCTTTGGGTGCTTGTTTAGTTTGGGTTTGGGGCTGTCCAACACTTTTGGGTCAGCACCAGTATTACTTCTCTGGCAGGCCTGTACCCACGAGGACCTGCGGGCTGCAGCGGCCAGGGCTGCCCTCCAGGGCTAACAGCAGCACAGGCCAGGACCTCTGATCTGCTCCAAAACATCACGGGATGGTTACTCATGTCACTTCACCTGTGCAATAAAACACTTCACGACAACAGCGCCAGGGGCACCTCTCTCTTCTAGATAAAGCTGTTTCTTTAACTCTTCACAGGTCTCGTCTTCCACCCTTCTTGCCTTTGGTCTCAGAAAATCAGCATAAAGGTGCCTACGAGACCCTCCTACATCTCCACAGCTTGTCGTGCTATGTGGCTCCTGGCTTCCCCGCCGACCGGAAGGCATAGCTGACGCATCTGCGCCTCACAGAGCAGAGTGAACAGACTTTTCTCAGGAGGTCCCCCTCCACCTTGCGCAGGACGAGGACCGCCTCCTGGACTCCAGGCAGAGGAGGGAGTGAGTCTGAGCTCTGCTGCCCAGGAACTCAGGTGTGCACCCAGCTCTGTCCCCTTGCCCAGGCCTGCCAGGCAGGTCGTGCAGACTGAGAAAACAATCTGTCCCCAAGTGCCAAGACGTGTCGCCAACTCAGCCTTAAAAGAAGCAAGAAACAGTAAAGTTGCCTTTGTTTCGGAGAAAAAAGCTGACCTGCATTTTCCCAGCGTAGCAGCGTGCCTGAGGTACAACTCGGGGATGGAGATGTCTGAAAGGCAGGAAAACAGCCTGCAGCCCCAAGCCCCTGTGCTGGCCCTTCCTGGGGAGCTGCAGGACAATGGCACCTGAAGAGATGCAGGTAGGAGGGAGCAGTGTGTGGCAGGACGGGTCCAGCCCCTGGAGGACCCTGGGCATGATTCTTGGAGGAAGGCTGGAACACGGGAACCTCAGCCCGGCCAGGTACAAAGGCTTGCTGTGCTGCTCTGTGAAAGCCCAGAGGAGTCCCAAGATGCAGAGAGTAAGCAGCCCACTGGGACGGTAAGCTGCGTGTGGAGCCTGGGTGCTGGGTTCTGGGAGGGCAGGGCAGGCGGTACCGTCACACTACCTCACTCTGGCCATGCCTGGCCCGCACGCCCTTGCCTGCCCTGGCTCAGGAACCAACATCCCACCTTGGCTGCGGGCTCCAGTGGGCTCCCTCAGGTCTGCACCCACCGCCACATGGGGACATGCGCCTCCAGCTGCCACCACTGCTTGGTGACAGTTGCAGCCCAAACCAGGAAAGCCTCCTAGACCCAAGGTGGCTAAGGCAGGGTCTCCGCTGGATGCTGCTCATCTTCCCTGCAGGAGCACCATGAGCACACCACGTTCTGCCTGCTCTGGTGACCTTGCCTCACCTGGGACAGAGGTCAGATCACATGGAGGCCGGAGGCACGCCCTGCAGCCCTCCGTGTGGCGGGATGTAACAGAGCACTGTGCTCAACCTCACCCGCTAATGTCACTCACACCAATGGGTTGTCTCCCTCTCTAGATTGCCATCCACTTCATACTGTCCCACCACTCCTCACTCACAAATGACCCTTCCACAGCTGAGTCCATTTAGCGGCTGCTGGTCAGCAAGGAGGGCTGATCTCCACTGCCCAGGGTGGCTCCTCAGATGTGGACTTAGGCTGGAGGGAGGAGACAGGTGTGAAGGCACAGTAGGGTGGGGTGGGGTGCAGGGCACCCTCTGTCAGTCCCTCCATCTGAGGCCAAGTGCCCAGGAGTCCCCAGTTATTTGCATGCAGGTCCCTGTGTAAGACCCACTCTCCGGAGCATGCCACACCCCAGCAGATGCAGCTTGCATGCCACAGGCTGTGGGCAGCCATCGGGGCCAGGTGCTGTCCACCCAGCCTGCAGACAGAAGCTCCCTGAAAGGCTATCCCACCTTTCTACTGAGCTGCCTCGACCCACATGGCGTGGTGAGCCTTGCACGGCCACTGACCCTTGCTGCAGACGTGAAACTGCTGGCTGCAGTGTAGATGCCTTTTTGTGAACTCTGACCTAGAACCGTCTTAATCTGCATTTTCTTGTATTCAGTTCTTTCCCTGGTGCAGGTAAACCCCTTGCTTACTGCACCCCCACACACATAGCCAAAGGTAACATCTGCTGGGCACTGGGTTCTCCATGGAGCAGCTAGTTAGGGTGGCCTCTTGTTTTTTAGCTGGAAACGGCCTGGTTAATTACAAAATGGAAACAAACCTTCTCTAATGAATGTACTGTTTAAATCATACCATTGCTATGTATTTTACCACTGAAATCAAGGAGCACTATCAAAATTAAAGGAAAAGTTTGCTCCTTTTAGAAATAAATGTCATTTGAAACTGTGGAAAACTTGTTTCACCTCTTTATAAACTGGTGTCTTTACTGAAGGTCCTTCTATTGCCAAAGGCTGGACAAACACCAATGCCCGTTCAAAAACTGTGCTTCTGTTACCCAACAGCCGCGCTCCTTGTGGCTTGGAGGAGCCCTTGATGAGTGGAAAAGCCGGCCCAGCCTAACATTTTCTGGGTCCTTCTCCAGGCAGCGAGCCCGGCTCACCTCTCCGTGGGCTGACAAGATGCAGGATGCCCTGGTCTCTGAGGCACCAATAGGTGACATGGCCACAGCATGGGCCACCTCTGTAAGCAGAGGACAAAGCCAACCAGGGCAGGCAGTATCTTGAAACCCTATTTTAACATTACCAAACCTCCATGCGTCTCTTCAGTTAGAGGCCTGGTGCTCCCAGCTCAGGAGCTCTTCCACGACAACCCAGGACAACCCTGGTCTTTCCACTTCCTGCCCTGTGGCTCTGCCAGCCTCTGGGGGGTCTGCAGCCTTGGGGGCTTAGAGGGGCCCTCAGGGCGAAGACAAGAGGACCGATGGGCTCAGCTGGACTTGGGAGGCCACCACCCTGGTCCCTGCACCAATCATGCCACCTGTTGTACTGCTGGTGCTTCCATTTCCCCCAGTGACTGCTGTGTCCTTGAGGATGCCATAGTCAGACCTCAGTGACCAGGCGCAGCTGGACGAGGACGCCTGCTGAGGCAGAAGTGCCTACGGCGCCGGGGAGCTGAGCTAGGGTGGAGCAGAGCTAGGGTGGAGCCGTGCTAGGGCCCCACAGCTCTGCCTCCAACTCCCGCTGCTTTGCAGCAGTGACTGGAAAGGTCCTGCGGCACAGACAGGTGCAGACTGCAGTGGGGGCCGGCGCCTGACCTCTCCTTCCGTGGGAGAGAACAGACATCCCCTCCTCAGGCAAATTCCTCTCATGACGTCATCACCTGGTTCCAACACCCCATGAGAGCAGACTTGAGAAGGCTTTCCGTGTTGCTCTCATTTAGTCACCTGAAACTGACAGGAGCTAGCTATTAACCTTAGGGGGGGCTTCCAGCCTTTGGTCCCTTAAAGGTTATCTCATCAATGTTTGCAGTACTAGGATTGAACTGGGCACTCCACCAATGAGCTGCACCCTCATCCCCTTTTAATTTTGAAACAGGGCCTTCTATTATTGAGGCTGGCCTCAAACTTGCAAACCTCCTGCCTCGGTCTCCCAAGTGGTTGGGATTACAGATGTGGCCACCACACTCAGCTCCCTTAAAGTATTTCTAAGGATCAACTACCCAAAGTTCTTGCTTGTACTGATTCAGAGAGAAAAAAATATGTCAAACTGAATAAACACTACTGTCACATCTAAAAAGCCAAAACCAAACCAAACTTTCAATGATCAGATTTCCAAGCTTAGCTGGTGATTCCCTTCCGTTTTATTCAACTGAGCCCAACCAACCCCTCAAGCTCATCTTAACAGCGTGACCTATGTGGCCAGCTCAGCTGCCCTCAGAAGAGAACAAGGAGCCCCACAGACCCGCTGCAGTGACCCTGCTGTGGATGTGCTGGCTGGAGCTCCCCCTCACGGGTGTGAGGTGCCCTGCCCTAAGACCACCCTGATCTCCATAGTGCACACTCAGCACGAGAAGACGATGGAAAAGGGGGCTGTTTCCAGCCAAGCGGGGCCCCACCCTTTCCCATTAGAACTCTGTGCTTGAGCCTACCTCTTGGTTAACTCTAGGGTGACAAACAGGTGACAGGGTTATGCCGCACTACAGAAACCACCAGGCCAGCACGTCACTGTGAAGACATTTGGATGAAAGGGAAAAACCGCACCAGCGTGAAGTCAAAGGCCAACTCACAACTCAACCAGACACAGGAAGCCTGGTCTCCAGCCCCAGAGCAGGCACTGGCCACCATGCTGGCCCACAGGCTTCCGGGCCAGGAGGCCCCACCTGCTCCAGGGCAGTGGTGCTGGGCAGGCAGGCCGCAGAGGCGTGGAGTCCTTGCTCTTGGCTTCCCTTCCTTGCTGTCACTCTGCAAACAGCCTGCGCCCAGGGAGGAAAGGCACGGGGTGGGGGGTGGGGGTGTGTGGCTCCACCGCCTGCTCCCCAAGAAGGCTGATGGTGGGCCCGCCGGCATCTGGAGCTCTCTCCCAAAACCCATGAGGAGGCTGCGCAGCAGGAAGGACTGGCCTGGCAGCAGGCCCTCCATGCTGAAGGCACTACGACCACATGAGCACCACGGCTGCTTCATCCACTGCCAGGTACTGAAGACTCCAGTGTGACGGCATGGGGTCATAGAACATTGGTGTCCCCTTGGCAGAAGGAAAACCCCCTCAAAGGACACCTAGTCCGGGTTTATTGGAACAGAAACAGGCTGGCTGGGGTCCTTTCTGAGTGGCCTCACCCCGAACGCAGGCAGCCACTCCACCCATCTGGTAGAACCCACAGGAAGGCAGAGGCCGGGCCAGACTGCGGGGATGCTCCAGGCTGAAGAACAGGACTGCAGGCCTAGTTCACACTCAATTTATTTTAAATGATGCCTGGTGATGCTAAAGGGCCTCAGCTACCCTCAGTTAACCTCCAGCACTTTCTTCTCCAGAGTGTCACACCCCAGGTTGTCCCAGGTGAGTTCCAGCCAGTACTGCTCAGTCCCAGGTGGATGGTCCATGCCACTGCTCCATCCAGGAGAAGAGGCGGGAAACACTCAGCTGTGGGAGCCTGGGCAAGCAATGCAGAAGACAGCCGTCACGTGCGGCTGCAGAGGCTGCAGCAGTACCGCCCTCAACGGGCGCTGGTTTACCTGAGGCTTCCTCAAGAGCACAGAACAAAGTCCGATCCCAGGAGAACCTCACCTTCCTCCTCCTCGCCGGTCTCCTCCCCGCTGTCCTCGTCCTGGTCCTCATCTCCCCCTTCAGCACCCTCAGCCGAGCTGCTGTCCTCCTCTGAGTCCGTATCTTCCAGCCATTCCTGAGTTTCTTCAAAAACAAAAAGAACAGAGACTCTCTGAAGGCTGGGGTGTCAGGAAAAACTGCACGCAGGAGCTGGCCAACTCACAGGACTCCATTTTCTTATCCACAACTGTGACATGAAACCCAACTCCCCTGTCCTGGACACCCCAGGACACCCAGGGCCAGCAGAGAAGAGACAACATCTTCCTGGACTTCAAGAGCAGAGAGATCAGGGGACACAGAGGACGAGCAGACACCACTCCCTCCACGGACGTGGCCTGCTGAGTGACAGCTGGTCCTCAGGAGACAGCAGCAGGGCCTGAACTTTGTGATCTGGTGCTCCCCAGACACGGAGTCCCGCATTCTACCTAGAGTCTTCATAAAAATGACTCGGGTCCCATGGCAGTCTGAGGGAAAACGGGGACCTGAGGACTCAAGGGGCCAAGGCAGTTTGGGTAATGGAGACAGGGCCACAGACTGAACACTTGGGAGCTCCGGGACACAGGAGGGTCTGTTCGGCTGAGTTCCAGCAGAACCACTAGGTGCACCCACAGAAGTTTTGTCCAGAGCTGGTGTCCAGTGCCCTCTGCAGCCCACACCCAGGCAGGCTCTCAGGGTATCCTGGCGAGAGCCCAAGTCCCCATGAGGCTCCTGGCTCAGGGCAGATATGGTGACAGGGGCAGGCGTACTGGAGAAAGCCCGCCCAACAGTTGGTGTGTGCCCTCCAGGTAAAGACCCCCCCGCCCCCGCCCCACTCTGGCTTACCTGCATCCATCTCCACCAAGACTTTCCACTCTTCCATCTTATGGAGGTCGAGGCAATACAGGTCATTTAGAGTCACCTGGCGGTCACCGGCTTCAAACATACCCCCGTAGACATACAGCAGCCCATGCTTAACGGCCAGCATGGTACTGGAGCGTGGGCAGGGCTCCACCCTGGGGCCAGCCTCCATAGCCCCATCCTCCTCCTCTGGGGGCGGGCAGCCTGCTGAGCCTGGGGCTGTGAGCACTTGTTTAATGGTGACCACGGTCCCATCCTCGGCCACCACCTCTTTGACCACCTCCAGGGGCTCGGGGGCACTGGCTGCCCCACGCTCCAATTCCCTGGCACCTTCGTGGTCCTCTGCTCTGGCCCGCCTTCGCTTCCTCTTCTCCGACTTGGGGCCCTGACAAGGGAATGAGAGCAGAGTGCCTGACCTGAGCAGCAGAGCAGGGGCGGCCCTGCCCCCCAACACACCACAAAGGACTTGTAGGGACAAAGTCCCACAGACATCCCTGTATTCTCAGGCAGCAGAGACAGTGGGCAGGCAAGAGTGGTATCTTCACAGAAGGCCGCCAGGCAGAACCCCAGCAGTACCCTGGCTCCTAGAGCCCTGAAGGTAGCCTTGGGAAAGCCCACCAGGGCCAGTAGAGTGATGAGTGGGTCAACAAAACCTGCTGACAACAGGTGCCATGTGGGAAGCAGAACCTGCAGTCCCAACACTCCCATGCAGCTTTCCTTTGGGCCCCCTTCCGCTGGACGACCATCTGCCCTGCCGCTGGCCTCTTAAGACCTCACTGCAGCCTGCCTAGACCCTTTTGCTAAGGGGTGGTGGTCATTTTCTCAGAGAACGCATCTTCCTGAGATGATGTCTGCTGCCATGTTGTGTTCAGAAGTTCCAGCACCACTCTCCACAGGCCAACCCAGGGCAAAGCCACACTCCAGGTACTCAGCTCACCATAGGGACACTGCTGAGAGTCTCACCTCGAGGAGCACCAGGGGGCCTGAGACCAAACAGTGAGGACAAGACTAACCAGCCCTGGGGTCTGGGGAGGAAGCTCTTCACCCAGCAGAGGCCCCACGTGCAGAACAGCGTGTGCCACTCACTCCGTCAGACCTGTGACAGCAGTGTGCCTCTGTGGCAGGCGGGTGCACTGCAGTGGGCATGTGGGGTGAAATGCTGATGTGCTTACGCAGACCGTGGGGCTGACTGCAAGTCCCCTTCTGGGACTGCCACCACTGTTCTGCCAGTCTCGGGCAGCCCTGGGCAGCAGCTGCTCTGATAAGGACAGCAGAGAGGGTGATGGGAAACCAGGGACAAGCCTAGGCAGCAGACACACAGGCTGTTGCAGAGGACCACAAGTGCCATCATCAGACGGTGGCCTGGGCAGCTTCTGGCTCTAAAGGACAGCAAGGTTGTGCCAGTGGGCACCAGGCCAGAGCCCCAAGCCTGGTCAGCTGGGATGCGTGTGGAAGCAGGACACTCCCATTGGGAGGGTACACAGATGCTCTGTGGGTTGGAAGAGGTACTGAGGTGTGAGGGTGGCTCTGGCCACCACAGCTGCAGCCTGCCTGCCTGCCTGCCTGGGCACTCCAGGCCAGAGCTCACACCTTCAGCTGTCCCAGGAACCAGCGGCTCCTGGCAGCATCGTAGAAGTACAGGTCGTTGAAGAACATGCCTTCCAGGCTCTCTTCCTCTTCCTTGTCACAGACGCCCCCAAAGAGTAGCACCTGATGATTTGGGGTCATGGCCACCGAAAAGCCAGACCTTGGAGTGGGCTTGACCCCTGAAGGGCTGATCCGGGTCCATGTCCATTTGCCTGTCAATAGAGAACAAAGAAGGTAAGAAAGGCAAGAGACACAGGAGGCTGGGGAGCCCTGGCGCCCAGTGATGGTCGGTGCAGGCAAATGGCCGTGCCTCACTGTGAGGCTCCCTTTGCAGAAGCAGAACAGGACGAGGTTCCACCCTGGGGCTCTGTCCTTCCTCAGGCCCAGCTGTGTGACTCTTCCGTGCCCTCCTCACATTGCCACCTAGTGGTCAGTGCGGGAAGCGTAGGGGCACAGAAGCGGACCTCAGGAGGGCTGCCTGGGTCTTAGGAGGGTCTCCAGAAAGTCCACATCCAGCAGGTCCCTGTGGGCGGCTGGGGGGGGCACAGTCCCACAAGGGACCAGACAACACTGAACCTCTGCCTGGCGCACACTAGACCGCAGGTTGGTGCCTCTTCCTGCTGGCGACGTCTGCCTTGCATTGCCTTGGCAGGTGCCTCATGGGTGCGAGCTCTCAAAACCTGGTCTGTGTAAAGTGTGAGGCAAATTCCACCACTTCCAGAAAAAAGGGTAGACACTTTCCCCTAACGAACTAAAAAGTAACAGCAGACATTCCACTGGGTAGTGTTGGACATGGCTGTGGACACCCCCCACAAGTGGGATTCTGGGCCCACTACTCGTGGGCCACGACCAACTCATCACAACCAGAAGGTACAGAGCTACACCACCAGTACACACGCACAGGCAGGCAGGACTTTCTAGTCTCTCTCGCTGGGGTTGAGCAGTGAGCAGAGTCCAGCCTTCAGGTCCAAGTGCCCTGGTATATAAGGAGCTCACAGGAGGAGCAAACACCCTCACCTGCAAGTGCAGGACACTGTGGCCAACTGAGAAGTATGTGGTGCAGGACAGTCCTGAGACTGAAGAATTCTAGGGCAGGAACAAGTAAAGCTACTGTGCGTGGCAATCCCCTCATTTTTTTCCTCCAAGGAGGTCAGAGGACATTGTCACATGGAGGCAGCCCTGGCACCAGAACCCAGGCCTCAGACCCCACCTAGCTCTCTCCCAAGATGCAGGGCTACGGCCTGGAAGGTGGTCACTCCATCTCTTCTGGAAGATACGGGATTCCCCGCCTCTCAGGAGGGGAATACTTCAGGAGCATTCCAGAACTCCACCTCCTGTTGTCACTCACTTGATCTTGAACAAGAACAAAAGTTCCTTAAAATGCCAAGAAAGGATTGCAAAGCAACAGCACCTTTGCCCTGGCCTCTCACCCCACACCTCCTACACACCTGGCTCTGCACCTTCGGGATCCCAAGAATGTATGCACACAAAACTGCCCGGAAGGTTCATCCATAGTTATCTCAAAGCACCTCACGTGTCAGGCATGGAAGGGACATGGGTGACTAAATGGCACTGGGCCCTTGACAGGTGCTCTCCTACCCAGTCAGACCAGGCACCACAGCATTCCTGGGGCAGGGTGGCCCAGCCCAGCTCTGAGCTGTGTGTGAGGAGCTCACTGCCACCCCTACATTCACAAGAGGGAGGTGGCCTTTGCCTCTGCCCGTAGCCCAACAGGGCCTGCCTCTCAAACCACAGTGAAGCTAAGCCAGCTCCTGCGAGCAGAGCAGTACCTTCTCCCCCATCCTCAGGCTTCAGCAGGAACATGTCTGAGTGCTGGGTGCCTCTGTCCACATCTTTCTTGACTCTCTGTAAAAGGAAAAGGAATTGGGTGAGGCCACCTACGGCATCGAGTGCAGCCACCACAGCCCTCAAGCTGGGCACACCTCACACAGTCCCATCATGCTGGCCACAGCAGCTGTCAGTTGTGTGGCTAGTTCCACGAGGGTAGTCTCACAGTACTAGCAAGTAACCAAGCTCTGCAGGAACATGTGAAGTACTAGACCGCCATCCAGGAAACAGAGCCTCTGGCAGGGCCTGCTTTTCTTGAAGACCAGCCCTTCACAGTAGCTGGGGAAGAAATGGCGCTAAAGCCAGGGAACAGGAACCTGAGTGAGTTTCACAGGCCACCTACCCTGTGCACTCAGCATCAGGGGATGCAGTGGCACCTGAGGGAGAGGCCATAATACTAGTTTACACAGTTCCACCATCTCTGTCATCATCTAGTCTGGCCAAGACAGCAGAGTTCAGATCAGCCGAACCAGGAAGTCGGGGAAAGGAGTAGCTACACATGACACTTCCCTAACAGGATTCCACTGCCCACTGTCCACCTTTGTCTGCAGCCTCAGCTCACTCAGCTGGCCACCCCAGGGCCCTTGGACCAGGTCCCTGGAGAGCCATCAAGAGCATCACACCATGGGTGTTGCTAGAGGGAGAAGAGCCACAACACAGCAGGCAGAATACCGTTCCCGGGGACCAGAGTGGCGCGGGCTTCCTGGGCTCCACAGAGGCAGCCACCACCAAATGTGAGGTGCAAAGCAATGTGAGGAGGGCAAAGGGACATGCTCCCTGGAGGAACCTGCTTTCCACAGGCCACTTCAGCCAGTCCCAATAGGCACATCAGAACCAGCGGGCCACAGCAAAAAAGGACAAGGTCCAAGACTGAGAAAGCACTAGGGTTCAGGGCCCGATGGGAGAAGAGCTGAGCACGGGACCTACAGGCGGAGCTGGGAAGTACAGCGGGCACCAGTGCCTGGACCAGAGGTTGCCGTGTGGCACTGCTGACGACTTGCCCACCATCCAACCACCCCAATCATCATGGGCAGCTACTCCACAAACACCCAGCTCTTTCTGAAGGCAGAGATGCAGCTGCCTTCCAGACCCCGGCCTGCACACCACTACCATTCTATGACACTCATCAGAACCTTATCATGACCCCTGGACTTTCAAAATCCGTGGTAATTTTTAAAAACCAGGCACAATGACAGCAGAGTTTCCTGGGACACGAGTGTGACCTCAACCTGGGCGGCCCGCACAGATGTCTGGATACAGAACCACAGGAGGCCATTCCTTCTAAGGGCCCCAGCTACCCTTGCAACTGTGGCCTGCTTGTCAGGGCACCCAAGGTGGCTGCTCAATCACCTTCACCAGGCTAGGCAGTTCAGGCCAGTCCCCACGTCTCTGTCAGAGCGCCACACATGTGCAGGCGGCTGAGGCCCCTTAGCAATGAGAGGTGGGTGAGCGGGGCCAAGGGGAGACACCCAGCTGGTGAGTGAGCCGTCACTCTACAGGACTGGGACTGAGGAGCACACGATGAGGGTGATGATAAGCAGTGGCCTGCCATGTGGACAACTCCCACGCAGGTGCACTGTTTGAAAAGGCTGCTGCCAAAACAGCTTCTTCTTCCCAAACCTGGAAAGCACAGCTCCATGTCTAGTCAGCAGGACTGAAAGAACATCCAAGAACTACGTCTCCCAGTTCCATTTTAAATACTGCTTGAGCAAAGTCCTGTCCTCCCATCCAGCCAACAGGCTCTCAGGGGACACCACATTAGGCTGACTCCTGGAGCCAGCATGCACCCACGCCTCCTGCCTGGCAACTCAGTCCCAACCCTTGCAGCTGAGGAACCCCACTGCCCCGCTGTCCACACTAGACAAGGCCTTGTCCTCTTTCCTTCCCACAGGACGGCGTCCTTAGTGCACCTGAGACCATCTCTACGATAGCCCTGTGACCACATGAGCAATGGAGCCAGAAGGCAGAGATGCTCTTCCCACCTCTTTCCCAGCAAGCACGCCCTGATCTGCTGCTAAGAACAGGGCAGACAGGTCAGGACCGTGCAGCTGGGTGTGCCAGGAGGTGATTGGGATCGCCTGTGTCCCCTGCAGCACGGGAGCCAGCATCTCCTGGGAGAGTGGCAGAGCCCCGTCACCCAGAGCTGGGGGTCACAGGCCTCAGGAGGTCAGGACTTTTCTTGGCTGAGGTCACATGCATCCTCTAGGGTCACACGACCCCAATGCCTGCTTATGCCCCCGGCAATCCAGAAGCTCCAATACCAGTGACATTTTGGTATCCTGCTGCTCTCTTGAGGGAGACCTTTTCTCCCAAACCCCAGGCAGACACATCTGAGGTCCATATTAGACAAGAAGAAGGGCACTGCCTTCAGCAGGCCTGTCCTTGGCTGTCCACGTGTCCATGGAGGCAGATCACGAAGTACCAAAGCTATTTCCGGGTACCACCGCTACTCTCCCTGTCCAGGGTCCCCTGGCACCTGCTCTTCCAGGCTGGCTCAAAGGCTGCAGAGCCTGAGGAAGCCCTCCCAGTCTCTAACAGGAAGACCTCCTCTGGACCCTCGACCCCAAAGGCACACTGAGGGATGGCTGCTGCTTGCACACGTGTCTGCCTGCTGGGTCTTTATCACCTTGGAAGTTTCATCTCTCATCAAAACAGACCCCGTCGTGTTAGGAAGGCATTAGCTGGACCCCAACCGACTAACTCACTGCACAGCAAGAAGAGGACTCCAACACCTGTCAAAAGCACCACAAAGACAGATGACAGAGACGCACCCTGATGAACACAGACACAAAGATCCTTCACAAGATAGTAGCAAATTCAGGCACATGGGGAGGACAGACACACCTGTACCAGACTGGGCTATGACAGAAATATGAGGCTAGTTTAACAACAAGAAGTCGATCAAGGTGGCCCGTGGACAAATGAATGAAGAATAGGTACATGACCATTAAAACACAGGAAGTGCACTTAACAAAACCAGACACTCACCACGATGAAGGGCCCCAGCAGACAGGAGGCCAGAAGCTGGACCCTGAAGGACATCTGTGAAGACCTCTGGTGCTGTCCCTGCCAGATGAGGACAGTGCTAGGAGGGTCACCACACACACACCTCACCTAATGCCACCAGAGGCCCTGCTTCAGACACAAGAGAACGGATTAGCAGTCAGGAAGAGCAGGACAGCTGTCTCCTGCACATTATGTGACTGTTCACATGATCTCAGTGTATCTGGATCTACTGAAAATAGCGAGTCTGGTGAGTTCTCACATCACGGAACAAGCACACAGAGGATAAGATGTTTTCAGGCACTAACAGAGAACAATTGGGAAGTCCGATTTCAAGATCCCCCATCACAACAGCATCGATAAAGTAACAAAAGACATGTATGACTGAGAACCACAAATGCTGCTGAAATTAAAGAAAACCAAAATAAGCGTGGAGGCCATCCACATGCAACAGCTGCAGACTCCGAGATGTCAGCATCCCGGACGTTAGCCTCCGGACTAGAGCAACCCTCGTCACCATTCCTAACAGGCGGGTGGGAGGGTGCCTTCTTGCTTTTTAAGTAGAAACTGACAAGCTGATGCTAAAATTCATGTGGACACACAAAGAACCTAGAACAGCCAAAATGAGTTTGAAAGGACAAGGCCTAGACAGCTCAGCTGCCCACCCTAAGATGTGTTAGGAGGAACAGTCAGGAGGCATGGGTGGCCCCACAGGGCTGACCAAACAATGGAGGAGGAGAAGGGGGTGAGCCCACGGCAGGGGTCCCCAGGCACCCCAAGGGAAAGCCCTCTGGACAGTCGGTGCTGGAAGAGCTGACCCCCACAGGACACATGGGACTCAGCACCTTCACACTCCATAGATGGGGCAAGTCGATGGCAGAACAAAACAACAGCTGAACTACCAAGTTCACGAAACACGAGAGGCTCTCCCTCACTGAAGGTAGACAGGTCTTCTGAGGTAGGGAGAGCAAAGACCTTAAAGCACAACAAACTAGACTTCATCAAGGCAGAGCTTCTGCTCCTTGGCAGAACAGGGCCTGCCTCTTAAACCACAGTGAAGCTTCATGGGCAGAGGAAGCCCTGGTGGGGAGCAGGTTGCAGGGAAGACATAGGGACACCAACAAGCTCACGAGAGGCACACAGCAGCAGAGTCAGAGGAATGCGGCCAAAACAGAGAGCCATGAGTGCAGAGGACGCTGCAGGACCCACAGGCAAGTGGTGCCAGGAAGGCAGAGCAACAGAACCGTCAGGCGGTTTAGGTATAACCTGCAAGCCCAGCTCCACTCAGGGACCCAGAAGGTTCCCTCCCTGGTATTTCTTAAGAAAAACTAAAACATTGCCAGGTGTGGTTGCGCACACTTATAATCCAGCAGCTTGGGAGGCTGAAGCAGGAGGATCGCCAGTTCAGGCCAGCACTGAGCAACTTAGCAAGACCCTGTCACAAAATATTTTTAAAAAGGGCTAGGGAATGTGATGTGGCTCAGTATTTATACGCGCCTGGGTTCAATCCCTGGTACAAAACAAAACAAAACAAAACCAAAAACAAAGATTGCATCAAAGTGCTGATGCAATGTCACACACAGTTGACTGAGAACAGCACAGGAGTCCATCAACACAATGGAAACAGAGGTGTGGAGGCAATGACCTGAACACTGCACAACAGGCACATCTAGCGATGAGAAGAAGCTCAGCACGTGCCTCTGGGGGAAGCAAGAGGTACAGGAGAGCCTGGCAGGATGAGGGTGGGCCATAGCACACACACATCTATCACACACGCAGGTGGCCTTACAGTCACAAAGCACCAACGATCTCTACTTGATGGTGTGCACTCATCAGAGTTTGCACTTTCCTGTGAATGATGTAGAAGATGACTGATAGGTAGGTACAGAGTGTGAATAGACCCCTGGCCAAACCAGCTCAGTAGAACAGACAGCCCAGGGCCTGTGTGGGCATGCACGTAGTTGCTGTGCAGTCTGCAAGTTCACTGTGCATTTCAGAATCTTCAAAAGCAAAGGACTTAAAACCGCCATGTGATTCATAACCTGTTGAGGCTGGCCCCATGCAGACAAGCAGCAGGGCAGGAGAAACTCTGCTGCCGGCAGAGGGCAGCCCACAGCCCCAGGAGCACACGCCACAGACCAGGACTCCAGTGCACATGCCTAGGAACGTGCTGCTGGTGCCGCTTGCAGATATAAGAATAAAAGTCTGTGAGCGGGGATCCCCAGGAAGATCAACGAGCACCGCCTGTTCTACGACAGAATACCACATGGTTGTCAGTCTCTAGGCCTTAGGGAGAAAGACCTCAAAACAGAATTAGTCACACTGCAGTGTTCTAGGACGATTCAGACTAGACCATCAAAAGGACTTAAAAAATCTCAATGTAGGTAAGACAAAGAGACTGACGTTATGTCTATCCATTTCAAATTCAAGAGTTGTTTATATTAAACAAATGTCGTCCCCTCATTTGGAAGCTTCCATTACTGGTGACATTGACACACAGCAGACCGAAATTCCTCTACTTCCTGCACACCAGGTCTCACCTGCTTCGAGTAGCCCCCATAGATGACTATGCTGCCCTGGGGAGTGACGGACATCTGGCAGCCTGACCTGGGCGTGGGCCCGGTTCCTGATGGGGACAGCTTGCTCCACACAAAGGTATCCAGGTTGAAGGAATGCACGTCATTGTAGTAGATGTAATCCCTGGGTGGAACAGAGGAACACCGGCCATCACATTGGGACCACGGAGGACACAGGTCACTGAGAAGTGCACTTGATTTAAATTAAAGCTGAACTAAGTTATCTGTCTGCTCCACACGTAAACTCATACGAAGGACTGCAAACTTGTGAGTTTGCATTTGAAAACTAGAAATGATGCCAGCCCACAGAATCAGATTAACTTAACCTGAAAGTCATACCACATTTCCTCTACCCACTGACAAAATGGCAATCTCCCAGATAATTACATTAGGTTATTCTCTGCGACTATAACACCAACACTGAGTTGTGGTGTCTGACTGAATCATGAGGATGGAGCTATCCATAGCTTGGCAAGAACTGGGGTGAGACTCTGGACTGAAAGGGAGGGGTGTGAATGAGGGGGCACAGCATCCCCAGAACTGAAGGACAGAAGCAGAGTCCGTGTCCACAACCTAGGCAAGGCACGAGGAACAGCCTGGGGCCCCACCTGGCTCAATGCCCAGGGACATCACACAAAAAGACAGCCCATAGACAGAACTTGGAAGGGGAATGAGGAGACTTGCTGTCACCAGGTAACTGTCACAGAACAGGACATTGCTCTCCAGCTCTGCGTGACACAGCATTCAACAAGAGGCAAAGGAGAGGATCTACCCTGGTCAGAAGTAACCATTGTTCCTTGGAATGGAAAGAGCAAGGTGGCTCGACAGCACGTGCAAAGTGACCAATCCTGCATGAGAATGCAGGTGCCAGGCGGGTCACTCCCCTGCACGCCGCAGCTGTGAGGATGGGCCTCGGCCTGCTGGCTGCCACTCAGACTTACGCCTCCCACAGAGGACAGACTACCCTACTCATGCTGGGCGCTGTCAGTAATGGAATTCTATGTTGCAGGTCAGCTAAGAGCAATGCTCCCAAGCAAACGCAGAGGGTTGGCATTTGGAAGTCAAACCACATCTCCTAGAGCATCACTGCTTTTCTGTAGGTCTGAAGTACATCTTAGATCATTTCAAACAAGATAACATATAGTTTTTAAAAATGTTCTGATTTTAAAATGGATACAAGTTAAAACCTCTGCAAAACTTGATTTAGAACCTGGAAACAAAAAGGAAGGGCTGGCTAATCTTGCCCTGCACACAGCAGGTAATCGGTGCACTGCCAACTCATTCCCCAGCTGCCCTGCATGGCTGCCAAGCTGTATGTGCCCAGAGAGCTGGCCCTGCTTTCAGAGGGCAGTATTTTCCATGTTTACTCAGAATGGTAAAAGGTCTGCCCCTAAATGTTCCAGGAAAGACTTCTGCTGTTGGTACCAACCTTGTGCTCTCATGGAATCCACCAAAAAGGATTAACTGTCTTTTCCATGCCACCATCCGATGTCCACTCCGGCCAGAAGGACCCCCAGCTGATCTAAAATAAAGGGGAGGGGGAGTTATTTCAGTTGCTTTTTAAAAAATGACATTTTACATTTTTTTGTTCTAAGTACTTGATGAGTACCATTTAATTTGATCACAAGCTACTAAAACCATCCTGACAGTCTAGCTAGCTATTATAAAACTTCTAGTATAAAACAAAAGAAAATCTCTGTGGCCTTGAAGTAGATAAAGATTTATTGGGCAGAACATAGTAAAGTACGTTCCATCTAATAAAAAATGTCAAAATGCATGCACCACTGAGCCAGGTGCATGCATTTTGACACCACTAACAGGCGTACACACAATTCCCTCTTAATGCTATAATGAATAACCCCATAAAACACTGGCACAATCGGACAGAGGGCATGCACCCGTGATCCCAGCAACTCCCAGGTCGAGGCAGAAGGATCCCAAGCCTGGGGCCAGAGCAACTTAATGAGGCCTTCTCTCAAATTAAAGGGCTGGGAGTGTGGCTCAGTGGCAGAGTGCTTGCCCAGCAAGTGTAATCCCTGGCAGAGAAAAAAATCCATAAAACAAAAACGGCAAAAATATGAATAGGAAGTTCATAAGGTATCAGTGGAAAAAAAAGAAAGACGTAAAAATGGTCAATAAAAATACAAAAACGCTCAACATATCATTAGTGGTCAGGGAATGCAAACTAAAGCCACACAGCTTCCTGCCACCACCATGAGAGCACGTGAGAAGAAACGCCACGTGTCCATCAGCACTGGAGGAGCCTGAGCCCTACAGTCACTCTGAGGGCTTCCTGCACACCAGGAAGAACTGGGTCACACGAAGGCTAACGCACACTCACAGAGGCTTTCTCCCAGTCGCAGGGTGCAGTGGAAGGTGGACACTCTGGGCAACACACACACATCTCTAGACACAGCCAGTTCTGACAGAGCTCCAGTCCATGCATGACTCCACTTAACACGAGAGCGTGACAAGATTAACCTGGGGCTGATGGCAGCTGCAGGGGACGGGGCTGGGAAGGGACTTGGTGGGGTGGTGGATATGTTCTGCATCTCACCTGCAGCAGCTGACACTCACCAGAAGGTGTGCATTTTTTTGTAACTATACCTCAATAAAACAAACGTGAAAATACACAGCAATAAAAAAGCAACAGAAAAAAGAAGTAATTCTTAAGAATATACAAATAATGGAAACCAAAAACATAATCAACCTTTAATTTAAGAACTACAGATCAAAGCAGACAGACCATGCACCTCCATCTGAGCAAGAGTTTTAAAATTCAGATTAAGATATTTCTCCTCACAGGAAGTGCTTGTAAAACAGTAATGGAAAAGCAGGTGACTCAACACATCTCTGAACAGGCTTCCAGGGGCTTCGTTTCTCTCCAGCTTCTTGCATTTCCTGAGCCTTCTCCAGTGTGCACGAGCTTGGCTCACAGCAAGAGAGGGCGTGGCTGCAGGCTGCAGCACAGCACAGGGAGTCTTGCCTGGAGAGCTAGAACAGCTAACACCAGGGCAGGGTCTTGTCAAGAGCCAGCAAGGCCACCAGGGGACGATCCCAAGACCGTGGCAAAGGATGAGCCTCAACCACCTGGCCCTCTCACTGACCCCGAGGTGGCTCAACTCCAGGCTGCAGAGTGGTAGTCACAACCTGAATCATACATGTTGATACCTATTTCTACAATGCATCATTTCTCATTTATTTTTGTGCACGCTATACAGCTGTCCCCAAAATGGACATGTAAAATTCCACAAATGGCATGTGCCCTACAGAATCTCACAGCCTCGCCGTCCACAGAATGTCAGCGGAGGCAAGCACTCCTCCTGACACTGCATCCTACAGGCCTCAGCCCCTCAGGGGGCCTCATCACCTACTGATGCCTGGGGGACCACAGTGTAGCAGAGCCTTCTTTCTCTTCTAAGGGGGCTATTCAGGCCCAGCTCCTATATCTTAGACTTACATAAGTCTTACATGTAAATTCCATGTTGAAAGATTTGGTTCTTTGAAGATGGATTTGGATGCTGAATTTGTTAACCAATTTACCTGCTTTCTGTCCTGGCTTTCTATCACCCACGAATTTAGTAACCAGGTTTTTTGCCACAATTCACAATTACAAATACAAAATGTGACAGGGCTCAGAAGAGAGGGTCTGGGGCACACTATGACAACACCACAGGAGGCTTTCTGGGAACTATCTGGCTCTCACCACAGCACAGGCCCAGCTCTCAGTGACCTGCCCCTGTCCCAAGGCAAAGGACAGTGCAGACACATGCCCTCCACACACTGGGCACAGGGCCACGTTCCTTTCTGAGAAGTGTTTTGATATGTCACTTTATAAGAAGGATCCAAGGAAGAGACTTTCATTCAACTCTAAGCCACTGTGCTCACAGGTACGTCTACTCCACAACAGACACAGAGGAGACCCTGGATGCTTCCAGTGTCCGTCCAGTAATGGGAGCCAAGGCCCATCGGCCAGCTGATTACCTCTGACCCACAAGAGTCCATGAGACTGGGGACTGATTTCTGCCAGCTTCCTGAACAGAAAGCCCCTGGGTGTCTCAGCCTCCAGCTTTGTCAGGAATGAAGGACTCAGCCCAATGTTTCGTGGCAGCAGTCAAGTGCCACTGTGTAACTAAAAGAATAATCTATTTCCCTTTGGAAAATAAAGCCACCCCTTCCAAAAAAAGACAAGAGAAGAAAAGAAGGCCAGGCTTTTCAATTGCTGTCAGTCCTAAATGTAGAGTCCTCACAAATCAGTGTGACCCACTCAGGCAGATGTCTATATACAGTACAAATATAATGCTGTGGGTGCCAGAGCACTCAGCTCATTGGGGGATGTGCACAGAATGGCATTCCCATGGGGCATACTGCCAGCCATTGTCACCAGGCCACCTACTGGGCCACTGTGATGACATTCACAGGAGATGTCTGAGCATCAGATAGCTACACAGGCTCAGCAAGCAAACAGCCAAGCACTCAGCACACGTGATAAAACTCACAGCTCTAAACACACAGTACAGCCCCGAGGCCTTTGATGGGCACAGGAACAGCTCCTATCATGACCCTGAGATTTGAGGTCACATAGCTCATCCAACAGGGAACCAGGTCCAGTAGTGCACCCTGCAAGCACAGGCCCAGGACAGCCCAAGCAGGACACAGTGCAAGAGCAGGCCCTTCTGTTCCCCAAAGCACTCCTCTGCAGCTTGGCCCTACTTTTCCTGCACCACACCCACCAAACAAGCGAGGGTATTCAATCCCAGCAGGCAGGATCAGTAGCCATCTCTCAGATACAGGCAGCCTGGACATATAATGTCCCTGTGTTGCTCAAACCAAGACTATTAACAGTGAAAGCACCACTGGTACAGTGCTCATTCAGGATGGGCACGGTTCTCCTGTGTGCATTTATACCTCATGGTGCACGTATTACCTTTATTCCTCTTTCACAGATGAGAAAATCGAGGCCCACCTATAAGCCAAGAAGCCCAGCAGGCAGTATATGGCAGAGCCAGAACTTGACCATAACAGTGTGGTGTCAACCACCACCAAGCTCAGGCCTCAGCACCTGCAGATGTGTCAAAAACTGGCTACCCGTCCTAACACATTTTAAACTTCACATATCCCATGCTTTACTCCCTTAGTGTTGCTACAAACTGGTCACACTCTAGCCACAATGAGCCTCCTTACATAGAACAGCTGCAGACATGTAGCAGACAGTCCACACCCAAGAGAAGTGCAGGCCATGAGCTGACCCAGCTCACCTGGGCAGAGGAAGCATCTGGGTGCCACTGGCAGCTCCACACTGGAATGTGGCACCACTGACTCCAGCCGACGCCTTGCTGCCCTCCACACAGGGCTGAAAAACACCTCCGACTCGTTTTGCAAACAAGTCTTTTCTAGGCACTAACAAGTTGCTTTACCACGTTGACACTCAGAGAGTTTAGCTACAGACCAAATGCTGGCTCCTTCCTCAAATCAGGAAGAAACAGCGCGCGCGCGCGCACGCACACACACACACACACACTAACAAACAAAATTTTCTTGCTCCTCTACTAAACAATTTGATACATATAAACACGTGGAAACCACCCAAGGGTCCAATAACAGACGGATGGGCACCCAGGTAGGGGACTGTCATTCATCCCTAAGGAGGAACAAAGATCTCACACCTGCTACAATATGAGCGACCTTGATGTGTGACACCTAGTGACAGCAAGCACAAGAGAACAGACGTGTACTGCAGGACCTCATTCATGTGCAATTCCCAGAACAGGCAAACCCATGGAGACAGACAGTGGGGAATTGGAAGACCGAGGGAGGCTACGAGGAAAGGCATGGAGTTTCTCTTCAGGTGGATGGGAATGTTCTAAATGACAGTGCTGGCTGCATACTCCGAACATGCTAAAACAACTGAACTGTACATTTTTAAGAAGTCACTTATGGCATGTCACACAGCAAAGCAGCCACAAAACCCACTGAACAGGTGCTGTTGCGTGATAGCCTCTGTTCAGCAACTTGCCAGCAGGGGAAGGCGCCTCCTGCTGTCCCTGGCTACTCCCAGGGGCCAGGCCCTGGCCCCATGGCCCATCTATCTTGTGGAGAGACATCTGCAGAGGCCAGTGGCCAGGCTTTCTGTTGCTGCAGGTCCAGCTGCCCTGCTGGTGAACAGACAGACCTTCCACGCAGCCTCATGCTTGTTCCCAGCCCTCTCTCTGCAGCCTTCCACCAAACAGGAGCCTGAGCCCCACCCTGATGACTGTTCCCTCCCCTCACTGGAGACGACAAACATGGCTGGCACACAGAAGCTATGCTGCTGACTCCACCATGGGCCCTTCTCACTCCAGACAGCCTGAAGGAAATCTCCCAAAAGCTGCTAAAGCACTCATATGTGTCTGACATCCTCAGAGGAAGCGGCAGCTGACACTGCACTAGCACTAGGGTTCTCTGATGGGGGTATGACACCAGTGCCCATCACGCTCCCAAGCACAAGTGACCACTCACTGTCAAGGTAATGAATAAACACCCACTGGAACAGAAAGAGCAAGAGGCTGGAGATGCCACAGGAACGGGTGCTGGTCACATCAGTCAGCACGGAGTCTGGAAGATGCTTGCCCATCACACAAGGGTGCCACAGCACAAAGCCTCACCCTGTGCCGCAGCAGACTCACGGCAATGTACACCGTTGTCTATCACCAGACAAGGAAAGGACAGGACCACCTATAAGCACTGCAGCAGTAGCTTTCAGAACATACAGGCCAAATACAGGATGATTCTGTAACAAGTGAATGGACCCTGGCCACATGCAAGAGACGAGTCTCTCAAGATTCACATTCGTGAGAGAGTCTATTCTGATGAGCCCGTGTAGAGGATGCATGAGCCCAGCAAGACAAACCCAGCATGGCAGGCCACAGTCACAAGTGAGGTAGACGGGAGAGCCTCATTTTCCTGACTTCCAAATTAATACTCAAAATGAGCTCTCTCTCTCCAATCCAAGATGCTCACATGTGCCCCTCCTGGACCAGGGATCGCACCCTGGCTACCAAGGCCAGTATTTCTGGATCTGTCCACCTTCCCTGTCTCCCTCATCAGCAAACACTCAAGCCACTCAGAGTCAGAAACTGCCACAGTCTGGCTGGGCACAAATCATGAGCCACTCAAGCAGGAACAAACTTTATTTCTGAATTCCACCAGCACACTCCACACACGTTTCCCGGGAACTCTCCCGAACGCCACCCATGCCGCTCCTTCAGGAACACACCACACACCAACCGGGACTCCCTCTCCCGGGCTGTGCGCACACTCACTCTCGGAACCCCGGGAGAACTCAATGGGAACTCCAACGTAGCAGGCCTCCAACGCAGCAAGAGCCATCCTATTACCGGACAGTAAAGGTCTAATATACAACTGAATCAATCCAGCATCATCTTAATGGCTTGCCTCTCAACCAATACTACTGGCAAAATGCCAGGGGCCATTCTGACTCAGCTGTGGCTCTCAACAAGAAAACATTACCAGCTAGCTCCACACAGAGATCTATACTGAAAAAATAAAGCGCATAAAGTAGCCACCGTCCTGCAGGCTGCCACCAAGAAGCAAAAAATGGCAGCTACATTTAAGGTTTGCACTCTCACCTGAGTTAAAAAAAAAGGCTTCCCCAGTTTGTGCAATACACTTTAAACCTCTCCTGTTTTCACAACAGGAAGCATCTAAGTAATGAGCTGCTTGCTAGTACCACCTCCTGCTTAAGCCAGCTGCCTCTGCATCCTGCAGATGCAATCCAGCCCAACTGCTGGAACACACTGAGGTGAGAAGGACAGTGGCAGGGCCACCCCGAGCGACCACACCTCAAGAGTGCTCCTGTGTCCTTGGAAGAGAAACGAAACAGCAAATCCTGCAGACAGGAGAAAATGTTCATGCCACAAATGGCTCAGAGTGTCACTGCAGCCATGTCCCACAGTGGTGCCAGTCAACGGTAGGCCTAAGGGGAGCTACCAGGTGAAGCGAAAGCTCTCGAGGACTGCTACCTGTGCCCACTTTAGTTATGGATGGAAACTGCCGAGGCTGATAAAATGCACTAAACATCAAGAATACGTTTTTCAAAAAGGACCCAACAAGCAAATAAGCACAACTGGGTTTTGAAAGGAATAATTAAAGCAAAACAAAAGAGAATAAACATGGTCTGGGTCTACACAAATTTGAGTTAAGGTTCAATATATAAGTGGCAAAAACAATTTTTAATATGAAATAATTTCCTGATTGTGGTGCCTCCCGAGTAACCTTTCCCAGTGCCGCACAAGAAAGGGAAGTGCAACTGGGCTCCTCAGCCCTGTACTAATGTCGGCCTGTTGGAAGCCTGGCCAACACGGCTGTGGGCTGTACCTTTCTCTGTCTGGGGAGACAGAGGATAAATTACCAAAAGAGCCTGGTAGAGCCTCCATTCTCAGTGGCTGCTGCCAGGCCCAGTTGCCAGGGCTGTGCAAACCACAGAACCAGCCTAGCTTCCTGAGGAGGAACGTACAGGCTGGTCCCTGGTCCCTGCGCCACATTTCCACCCCCACCCCACTCAGAAGGAGCACTTCCTTTGAGAAAAGCACACTCAAGGGATCGGCTTTGTTTCTGGCATGCTTGGGCCCCAGAATTGCCTTACCACCCCACACCTGGGAAAAGACAGAGGGCCCACCGCAAGGAGCACCAGAGGTGACGTGGGAGGAGCACGGAAACAGGCTCAAACACACTGCCAGTGCAGCCCGGGCACCACTGGGCAGCCAGCAGCCTTCCTCATCCAGGCCTCCCTGTGGGGGTCCAAAGACAGCATGAGCCTTTCCTCCACAGCTCGGTCACCACTGGGGCCTACAACCAGGGCCCCACCAGCCCTGCTCCCTTGTGCAGAACTTGGCACAGAAGGGCAAGTCCAGGGCTCGGCTCCTGTCCAGGACCTTACCTGACTTGTTCCCAGGTCTTGGTGGCCAAGTGCAGGACCCAGAGGTCCTTGTAATGGTAGAACTGCTCTCCATCGGGAGACGCAAACTCCCCACCGAAGACCCACAGCTGTCCGCCGCCCTGAGGTACCACCACGGTCTGTCAAAAGAAAGGCAACAAGTCAGGCCAGGCAAGAGAAGCTAGCCAGTCCCAGAGGGCCAGAGCTTGGGAACCAGCCAACATCTCCTGCCTCTGGGGGAAGAATCCTGAAATCCTCTGCGAGGCACACTGTCTTCAGTCAGAACTCCACTACACTTTCATGCCCTCCTAGATTGCAAAATGAGCTTCCACTTAAAGTCACACAATGCCATAGCCTGTTAAAATGGAGCATAATAATAGTTATAACACAAGCCAACCCTACTTTCTCTTTATTAAATATCTACAATAAAGCTGTTTCAATCCTCATTACCCTTTCCTAGCATTACACACCTAAAACTACCCCCAGAAATTAAAAAATGCACGTGTAATACAGAAACATCTGTGGAGTATCACTAGCGTTCACTTCTGAAGACTGAAAGGTAGGAGTGGCTATGCTTTGAAAGGCCCTCATCCACACGACAGACTGAAAACAGGCTCTCTCTGGTGCTGTGGTCCTAGGGCTCCACCATCACCAGTGACCAGTGATGGCAGGGGGGCTTTGTCAAAACAGTGGGCTCTCTTGATGCTCAATGCCCTCTGCCATGTTATAACATAGCACCTAGGTCCTCACTGGAGACTGGCACTCAGCATTGAACTTCCCAGCCCCAGAACTGAGAGATATAAACCTCTGTTCTTAATACAACTACCCAGACTATGATACTGTGTTACAGTACACAAAATGGATCATGACGAGTGAAAGCTGGGGTCTCTGGACCACTACCATGGGAAGCGTTCCCTGGGCTGAACAGTGCAAAGGACCTGAGGATAGCAGGGGGCAAACCCACAAGGTCTCCAACAGCTGCAGCAGGGGTATTCCTCAACAGTCATTAGACACTGCTAACAAAAAGGAGGACACGGGCTCTAGGCGTGAGGCCCACAGGACTTGCTCCTCTGGTGACTCTGGCAGTAGAGTCTCCAGAGAAAGCCAATTCCACTGCTCTGGGCCCAAGGTGAGGCAGCACATCACGGGGAAGGGCTCAGCAGAGGACAGCTCCAAGTTCATGGTGGTCATCAGGAAGCAGAAGGGGGAAGGGTCACGGGGCAGAGAACTCACCTCCTCAGCCACGCCTACTTGCCTACAGTTACCACCCAGTCGGATCAGTCCATTCAAACCAGGATGGACTGAGCAGGCCACCGCTCTCACAGTCCATCAAGACAATACTCACCCTCTGTTGAAAGATGGAAACAGGCAGCTTTTACAAAGCCCAACACCTAACCACACAGTACTAGTAAAAAAATGTGAACCCAGGAAGGAGAAAGCTCAGTCCACGGAACTGCCCTAGAAGTGGCTAGTCGGCACAGCTGGCCAAAGTGGCAAAGATGGGAGAACTGGCAGACAAGGACTTTAAAATACACACTACGTTCAAAGATTTAAAAGAAAACAACATAAGAGAAATAGAAGCTGTGATCAAGAACCACACAAGTGCTAGGGCTTTTCAATACAGACTAAGAATGAAATACATTTCATTAGTTCAGAGCACAGACTGATCCTGGAGACGACAAACAGAAACTACACCAAATTAAACAGAAATTTTTAAAAAAACAAGAGTGGGAGAGGGAAAGATTATCAGGCTGGATAACATTAAACAGTCTAACATATATGCAACTCAAAGAAAATCAAAGATAGAGCAAAACTGAACTGAAGGAAAAGCAATAATAAAGAGAAATCTTTTAAGCATCCTTGGGAAGGAAAGACAGGTATGAAACACACAGGCAAGTTAGGAACGAACGGCCAAATGGGCAGCCTGGTACAGGAAAGCTAAGGCTGGAGCCCTGGGGTGGGGGTGGGGGGTCAAAGGTAGAGGTCTGCACAGCAGGCTCAAGGCTTGGGCCCACCCAGCACAAACACATACACACACACACACATAAACACACACACACTAACAACCACGAGCCTCTCAAAAGAAAAAAATATCATAAAACAGGACCTCTCTCAAATGCTCAAAGAATACTGTTAACAGAATTCCATATCCAGCAAAAATAACTTTCAAAATGAAGACATTTTTCTCTAGCAAAGCTGAAAAAAACTTGTTTGCAGCAGACCTGTTCAAGAAATGACCAGAGACGTTCTTCAGACTGGGGACATTACCAACAGAAAACCTGGATTTACACAAAGGAATGAAGGATGCTGGAAAAGGTAAATAAGTCAACATAAGATTCTTTCTCCTTTTAAAATTTCTTTAAAAAACAAGTCTAAATCAAAAAGAGTAATACTGCATTGTAAGGTTTATAAAATACACAGAAGATATTTGTCAATAATAGCACAAAGAACAGAAGGAAACATGTGGGCCTCCACCATAGTTCTTCCAGTTTATGAGACGTGGCACAGTATTTGAAACAGACCACCATAAGATGAGCAAGTACACTGCAAACCACAGAGCAATCACTAAAACAAAACAAATGGGGAACTGCTGATAAGCCAAGAGGAAAACTAAAATGAGATATTAAAAGGCAAAAGAAGGCAGGAAGAAACACAAAGTATAGAAATACAGAACAGCTGGGACAAAACAGCAGGAACCTGATGACAGAATCAGTAATTACACTGAAGATGAGAAGAATACACACCAATTAAAAAGCAAAGACCACAGAGTTGGGAGCTGATGTGAAACACAACATAATCATAGCACTGTTCACAAGAAGTGCACTTTAAATAGTCAGGGGTCAAAAAGGTCAAGAGTCAGAGGAAGAAAAAAGTTGTAGCAGGCAATCCTGAGCCTGAGATAAGGAGGCAGCCCAGCGATAAGGAGGCAGCTGTGTAACAGCAGACAAAGGAACCTGAGGACAGCTAAGGTCATCAGGCAGAGTCAGCAAGACCAGGGAAGAACTAACCACCACCAGCCACCCCACCTAACAAGGCGCACCTAACAAGGCGCTGTATATAACAGCTAGAGAAAACAAGTGCTTCAGCAACCTGCACAGGACAGGCACCCAGACAAGACGTTTTAGGCCAAAAAGTAAATCTCAAACATGAAGGGACTGAATCATACAAAGTGCTCTCCACAACAGAATTAGACACGAATAACAACAGGCCTCTTGAAAAATCCCCAAATATTCATAAATTAAACAACACACTTCTAACCTCTGTAACCATGGGTCAAAGAAGACATCTAAAGCACCTTATTTCAATCAGAGTGACACAAAACACAGCAGCAGGTCCAGTGTACAAGGAGCAGTGAGGCAATGTCCAGAGGGACATGCACAGCTTTAAGGAACCATTTGAAAGAAGTTAGGCCTCCACCTTAGAAGCCTAGAAAAAGTAAATCAGATTCAGAGTGAAAGGAAGGAAACAACAAAGTGTAGGAATTATTGAAAAGAAAAATTGTAAACAGAAATCAACAAATCCGACATGCAGTTTGAAGATCCAGAGGAAAGGCCTGCTCCCTACCACAAGCACCACCATCACCCTGCAGCCTGGAGATCCGGAGAGCCAGCCACCGGGGCTGGGGTCCCTTTTTCACCAAAGCATGGCTCCACAGCCCAATATCAAGTGCCTATATAGGCTTGAGGCTGCCACTGCCATGTAACTGGGATAGTGCTGCTTCTGTCAAGGGACAACAATCAGGACCTGGTAAGATGTCACCAAGGTCCCTGTGGGCCTGGCTGCACCAGAGGTTTCTCTACTAGGGGTGCTAACAGTTATCCTGTTGCTGAGGTGACAGGGAGTCTTGCTTGGGGTGGCCTCTCCCTCGTTTCTCCTACTAACAGCCACCTTCTTATGAACACCCTCTCACTAGTCATACAATCTAATACCTCCATATTCCACATCCTACCTCATGAACATCTCAGCCAACCCTCTAGGCCCCCCCCTTCCACCACCAGAAACTGTAAACCATGTCACAAACCTATTGACTCATCATTTCTGATTATAGTGACAAAACTCTAAATGTAAAAACAGAAGCTAACTGATATATGGCTGCACGTTGGGCACATTGAGTGCTGTAATATTGATCTCTCCCTTAAAAGTGAGGTATTGGTAACCTATGGGGACACTATAAGACAATAGGGCAGAAGCTGTGATACCTCGGATCTACACTGCAAGGGAGGAAGACACATAGACATCATTAAAAAACAAGGGAGGAAAGTGTCCCCAACAAACCAAGATACCACAACAATAGACACCATAGATAGAGCAGTAGGTGAAATGTCAGAGAAGGAGTTCAGAACACACATAACTAAAGTGACCTGGGAGTTAAAGAATGACCTAAGGGAGCAGATACAGGCAAAAACAAAGAGATAAGAGAACAAACACAGGCTGCAAGAGATTACTTGAAGAAAGAAAGATTACTGGGGGAAAAACAGAAATCCTTGAAATGAAAGAAACAATAAGCCAATTAAAAACTCAACAGATGTATTACCAACAGACTAGACCACCTGGAAGACAGGACCTCAGACAATGAGGATAAAATATACAATCTTGAAAATAAAGTTGACCTCACAGTGAAGATAAGAAATCACAAACAGAACATCCAAGAATTATGGGATACCATCAAAAGACCAGATTTAAATTCACTGGGATAGAGGAAGGCTCAGAGATTCAAACCAAAGGAATGCACAATCTCTTCAATGAAATATATCAGAAAATTTTCCAAGCATAAGGAATGAACTAGAAAAACAAATACAAGAGGCCTATAGGACACCAAGTGTACAAAATTACAACAGATCTACACCAAGACACATGAAAATGCCCAGTATACAGATTAAAAATAGAATTTTAAAGGCCATAAGAGAGAAAAATCAGATTATTTATAAGGGAAGACCAGTTCGGATCTCAGCAGAATTTTCAACCCAGACTCTGAAATCCAGGAGATCCTGGAACAACATACACCAAGCTCTAAAAGATAATGAATGCCAACCAAGAATCTTACATCCAGCAAAATTAAGCTTCAAATTTGATGATGAAATAAAAACCTTCCATGATAAACAAAGGCTAAAAGAATTTACAGCAAGAAAGCCTGCAGTACAGAACATTTTTGGCAAAATATTCCACGAGGAGGAAATGAAGAAAACAATGAAAATCTGCAAAGGGAAGAACTACAGTAAAGGAAAAGCCATCAAAGCAGAAACCAAGTCAAGCTAAATAACAAACAAACATGACCGGCAATACAATTCGTGTCTCTCAACCATTTTTGATAAATTTTTACACATAAAAATTTTAACTACAATGTCATCTGATTTTTCAGGTTTTTGTTTATTTTTTAATTTTCCACTTCTCTTCGCAAAGTTACCAAATATTTTCTTTTAAAAGTTTTAGCATTCTATGCGTAATATTTTAACATATAATTAATCTGGTATGTGTATATACATTGCCTGTGATATGAGATGAGGTATATCTTACTTTCTTATAATTAAAAAAACCATTATCCAAGAGTCAAGGATGAAAGAGATCAATCAGGGTAAAAATTGTTTAATAAGGTATTTATAAAGATAAGGGCAAGGTTGAGGGAAACCAACAAATTTTGTGAAGCACCTTTCCTTCTGTAGACTTGGAGAGGTAGGAGGTGAAAGAAGAGAGAGCCATTATGAAAACCTTGTAGAGGTGACCTAACTGAAGCATGAAGAAACCAACTTAACAGTCTAATAGTCTTCTAGGGAAGAATAGATCACCTCATTCTACTTTAGAATATTCTAAGTTCATCTCTTTGGTGTCCCTTTCTGAAGGAACTCAACAAGACACCACATAACAGGGGACTTATCATGCAGCCTACAGCATATGTCTCACCAAAAGTGAAAGATGGAGAAAAGAGGGAACATGGCAGCCACTGGTTACATGAGGCCACTGAGTATTTGAAATGTGTCTCATCTGAATTGAGGTGTGCTATGTGTTAAATAGACATTACATTCCAAAGAATTATTAGGACAAACAAAATGAACATGACCTATCTAACAATTATTTTCTTTGCAAATTATATTGATAATCCATTGGGTCAATTTATTTATTATTTATTTATTTAAATATATTTAAATAAATATCAAATAATTTATTATTTATTTATTTATTTTAAAAAAAGAAAGGAGAACAAGGTAACATTCTGTATCTTGACTGTAGTACTATATATCCATTATATATGTTGTCATTTTTTAATATTTGTGTTGTTGAAATTCATATAACTATAAAACTAAATAGGACAAATTGTAATTTAAATTATATCTCAACAAACATGACTATAAAAAGAAATCTAGTTCATGAAGTGTTTTAACAGATTTGGGCACACACTAGCCACCTGATAAATAATGGTTATTACTATGATTGATTAAAACAACCAACATCAGGGGCTGGGGTTGTGTTCAGTGGTAGAACAATTGTCTAGCACGTGCGAGGCCCTGGGTTTGAGCCTTAGCACCACATAAAAATAATTAAAACTCTAGATAGAGCAAAGGGGTGGGAGGGGAAGAGAGAAGGCACGGGGATAGGAAAGACGGTGGAATGAGATGGACATTATTATCCAAAGTACATGTATGAAGACACAAACGGTGTGAATATACTTTGAATATACTTTGTATACAACCAGAGATATGAAAAATTGTGCTCTTTATGTGTAATATGAATTATAATGCATTCCTTTGTCATATAAAACAAATCAGAATTTTTAAAAAAAGAAGAAATTCTTAAAGAAAACACTGTTTCTGTTTGGATGTAATGCTGAGATTTTTAAGTATCCTGGAACCTTTCTACTTTCTTTCAAGAATGCTTTCAGGGCTGGGGTTGTGGTTCAGTGGTAGAGCGCTTGCTTCACATGTGTGAGGCACTGGGTTCTATTCTCTGCACCACATATAAATAAATAAATAAAGTCCATCAACAACTAATAATAAAAAAAGAATGTTTTCAGAGTTGCTAGATGAAAGGCAATAGAGTCATTATGTCCACAAACTTCACAACTTCAGCACCATCTCCTAAAGGTTCACAGAAAGGACTGTGGTCACCTACGGCCACCCACACAAGCAGAACGGTTGAGCTCAAGAATCCAAGCTTGCTGTCGAGTGGCCACTAAAGAGCAAAGCCCAGGGACCACTCTCCACTCACACCTGCAGAAAGACCCTTACCACGAGCACAGTAAAAATAAACCATGACAAACTAAATCTGTACTTCTGCCAAACTACTTTTTTACTTATTAAGGAAATGCACGATAAAACATAATCTCTACTTGTCATCCCAAAAGAATTGAGGAATACAGAGCTCCCCCCCCCTCACAAAAGAAACATACACCCATGGGGAGTCTTCCAAAAGCACCAAGAACGCCTGAGCCAAGCACCTGCCCAGATTTCCCACAGAAATCAGTCTGTGTGCGTGTCAAAGACACCAGAGAAGCCATGCTACTTTCAAAACACATGTTAATTCTAGTTCAGGAAGACACAGTCTGAAATTCTAGTTATTTCAAATAATCTGGCCCGTTATATCTTGAACAAACTCTCTAGGGTAAAGACCATTATATAGACCTGTCAGTCATTAAACAGGAAAAACATGGAGGAAAACTTTTTGATTAAGAAAAAAACAGAAGAATGAAATGGCTAACTAGAGCACTAACAACAGGAGCTTATAATTCAAACCCAAAGGTTTTAAGGCTGGGGACGTGGCTCCATGGTAGAACGCATGCCTAGTATGTGTGAGGCCCTGGGATCCCCAGTACAACAAAGCAGCCTCAAAATTTCAACTGAGGACAAGTTCAATGTTCTTTCCATTTTGAAATTATTAAACAAACAGAATGGACCACTGTCTGGCAGAAGGACCCTCTTAATAAGCTCACTGCCAGTTAAAACTGACCTAACCACCAGCACACAGTACTCTGAATCATGCTGATGTAGGAGAAAAACCAATCATTTGCTAAGAGATACCCAAAGGAAGAAATTTATCTTAAAACATAAGAGGTTCAGGGTCAAGAAGGAAGTCTGAGGATTAAAAGACTTAAAAGCACACTAAAACTGTTTCCTCTGATATCCCTCCCAAATAAGGATAAGTGTTTTCCTTTTAGAGGACATAACTTGAAGGTCTGGTTGGAACTATCATGCAGCCCTCAGGACAAACCTGGCCCTTCTGGGGAGACCCAGGTGTCCTGGGCTGGAACTGACCACAGTTGGCTCCCTGACCACTATCTGTTCTCGGCATTGTCCAGCTTACTGATAAGAGTTTACTCCCCCAGCTATCATCTGTGTGACCATTTATGTACCTGGTCAGAAGTAAACAAACAGTTTTAAACACCACCTTCCGGATGTATATGTAGCACACAGGTGTCTAACACTCCTGAAGCTCTGCTCAAGCTAACCACCACCACTCTCCAGGTCCAGTGGAGGCCAAACACAGCCTCGGAACCAAGCGCCTGGTACATGCCTCAACAACTCAGAGCACAGAGCAAGGCCTTCCCTTCAGCACCCACTTCCTCCTCATCCCATGAGTCTGTGTCCCAGGCATTTGGACCTCCTTGTGGTTTTAACTGGAATAAATGGAAAACCTGAAGTTCACAACCCTCTTCCCAAAGGCCAGAAGCAGCAACCAATAGACTCCAACATAAAATAGCATGCTGTGAATGGGTTCTACCACCAGCCTGGGATTCTGCTGAGGGACAGCCAAGTCCATCCATGCCCCACACCCTCAGGACCACATGAGGCAAGAAACAGGAACACAGCTAAGGCTTGTGGCCACAACCCAGCACCCACAGTGGGGCCTGGCATATAAAAGCCATTCAGTAACTCTCTTTAGCAAGGACACAGTGGACTCCTACAAGGCCTGCACAGATGAGTGGCAGGAGCTGTCGCTTAGCAGGAGGCCAACAGTTTCTGTGGCTCAATGGACACAGTGAAATTGTACTTATTTTATAAAAGTGTGTACACGTTGACTCTTCCCCATAAATTACCATGTTCATTCGTATGCCAGGCCCATCTGGAATTTTTAAATTCTTTCTTTATGGAAAATAAATTTCATTTCAGTGTGTTTTGGTCAGTTTACTTTGGGGGAACCAACCATCAAGTGACTCAGGAGACCAACTCTCTCTCACTCCTAGGTCTCCACTGCAGCCAGCTATCTGCCGACACAGTCCAGGCAGAAGAGCTGTGCCTCACACCCGCTCCCTGCCTTCCTCCTGGGCAGCGAGCGAGCCCCACTGCTCTCAGGGCAAAGCTGCAGCGAGGACCATGGACAGACCCACATACCATGGAGCCCAGGAACTCCTTCCTAGGAGGCAAAGAGCAGAAACAGGCTAACTCCACACTACTTCTTTGTCATGACTCACTTCATTCTAAAATAATTATCTTCCTTCCTCCAGTGCCCTTTCCTGGATATCTCATCTCCTCCTGTGCAACATTTAGTTCAGATCTTGGGCCTATAGGGTTCTCTTACTTACAAGAGAAGCAAGCCTTTTACTAGCCTATCATGTGCCAGGCCAGACTTGAGTTGTTCACACGTGGGTATTTCACATGATCTTCACCCCACCTCCCCTTCTCACATGTAAAGAACTATAAGCAAAGAACCTTAGTAAAGAGTTCAGGTTAGAAAACAGCGGAGCCCAAGATCAGTACGAGGTTACCTGTCCTCCACAGACTCTGCAAGTGTCTACCCTTGGCTCTAGCCTGGGAAGGATGGAGGAAGGAGGATGGTCAGTACTGGTTACCTGGTGAGCACAGCGCCTTGGAGGTGGACCAGGGATGTCAACTTTGGTCCAAGTGTCCTTCTTAATGTTGTAGACATAGAGCTCGTTATACAGAAGAGTCTGTGGGAAGGAAGAAGAACCTCAGTATCATGAATGACATGCTCCAAGAAAGTGACAGCATGTGGGGAGGACACTATGACAAATCCCCAGAAAGCTTGTCCCCTCCAACAACGGACTATAAACCAACACAGGCAGGTAGGGCGCTGGTCCTGAGATCTGCAGGGACAATAGGACAGCCGCCCCACAACTTGCTGTAGGTTAATTTGCTTGCCACTCTGAGTGAAAAGGCATTTGACACACCCAACCGACCACATATCACAGCTGAGCTAGCCTGCCGTAAGCGCGCCCAGAATACTGACATCTGCCCGCAGCTGAGCAAACCATCTAATGCACAGCCCATTTCATAATAGAGTGCCGACATCTCATGTCACTGTTGAACATTGCTCTGAAAGTAGAAAACAAAAGGGCTGTTTTAGGTGCTCTTTCCCACAAAGTCAGAGGTCCTGCAGACAGAAGCCAAATGCTCACAGTTTACTGCTCTGAGGCACCAGTTGCCTTGGCTGATCAGCCAGACCCTCACTCTCCAAACCCAAGCCTAACTTTTTGGGGACAGATTGACTGATCTGGCGCACTGGGGATTGAATCCACTAAGCTTCATTCCCAATTGTTTTTATTTTTTATTTTGAGACAGGGTCTAAGTTGCTGACACTGGCCTTGAACTTACAATCCTCCTGCCTCAGCTCCCCAGTCACTGGGATTACAGGCATATGCCACTGCATCCAGCTCAAATCTAGTTTTTGAATGCATGAAAAGGCAGAGAAGGCTAAGAACTGACAGAACTCCTCGCAGGCCAGAGGTAAGTGAACACAGCTTTCTGCTTCATGCACAGGGCTTTCTAGACTACTCAAAAATAAAAGCCCCACAATTTATTAGCATTATTTTTCATTCGGAACCACCTTGAAGGCTGGAAATGTACAGCTCAGTGGAAGAGAGCTTGCCTGGCGTGCGCAGCCCTGTGGGATCCATTCCCAGCACCGGAAACCAAAGTTGAAGGGTAGGAACGTGAAAAGCCACCACAAGGAAGAGCAGTCCTGGCAACCACCAGAGAACCAAGCAGGCCCACCTCTGCAGGCAGTGCTGGGGACAAACACCCTGCAGAACTCTGCCTGCAGTCACTCAGTCCCCGACTGGCCCTGGTGACTGTCAAGGATGCACCAGGCCTGACACCCAGGAAGTAGGATGTAAGAGAGGATCGTGAAGGTGACGCTCATATCAAACTATGCTTCAAATGACACCCAAGAAAAGTTGAGAGGAAAAGAAAAAAGGTATACTTTACTTTTTGGCCATTGAAATATTCACCTCCAAAAAGGATTAACTCATCTTTCTCAGGGTGAGCGGACAGGGAGGCATTTAACCTGCAATAGACATGAAGCAGAGATGAGCACACACGCCATGCTAGGCCAGGCTCCTTTCCATGAGCATGCTTTACCAGAGACAGCAGGCCCTGGGGCCATCCTGAGGCCATCAGCCAGATACCAGGTTCATGTACCTGAAGAGCCCTGGTCTGGGCCACTTCACTCAGAACTGGCTGAAAACATGAGCAGGCAGGCAGAAGCTCAGACCTCTGACCACGCTGCCTCTGCTAGACCTACCCTGTTGGGGGCCTAGCCCCTTAAATCATAATCAAAGCTGCTCCTAAAGCCCAGTATGTCCCAGGGGCCTTCTGCCAAGAAAATGTCAAACTCTATGTCCTGCATACACAGGACAAAATAATAGCCATTGGGGAAGCTGCACACACAGTCTGACTACTTCAGTAGAAAGCAGGACAAGAGGCCGTGGCTGTGGCAGAATGCCCTGCTCTCAGCATCCTTGACAGTGGAGTCCCCAGGTGGGTCCACACTACTCATTCCAGAAGCTGCTTCGCAAAGGGAAAATTATTTCAAAGTCAAGCAACTGGGGAAATCTGAAACCTCTATTTTTCTCTTGGAGATTTATTATGCACAGAAAGATTTCACAGTCTGGGAAATTTCCCAGTAAAGAGACCAGTATTAAAACAGTGCAGCTGCAAGGGAACAGTCTGGCATCCCTCAGAAGCTAAATCCAGAGCTACGTCATGAATCGGCAGCCCCCAAGTGGAAACTCCAGGGAACACCTGCAGCCATGTCCACCAGAGCACTGCTCACAAGCATCCACCAGCACAAAGTAGATAAGGCCAAGCCTCAGTGCCAACATGGTGTGGTGCCAGCATCTGAACAGCCTCCACAGCCCAGGAGACGACGCAAGCATGGCAGCAGGACAGGGAGCCGTCTCGTACAGGGCAGGATGTGATACTCGGCCATGCAGATGGCTGCACAGCACTGTGAATGCGAGTTACGCCACAGAACTGAAGAAAAGGTTAAAACGGCAAACTGTGTCTCACACACACAACTACAATGACACATTTTTAGAAAAGAACAATGCTTCCCACTCACCCCTAGTTTTGTTTTGTTTTGTTTTCTCTTAACATCTCTTAGTTTTCTGTGGCAAAGTATCTAACACAAGAATCTGTATGAGGCCCAAAGCAGAAAGTAGCAACAAGGCCCCACTGTACCCAGGCACCACCTAGGCGCAGGCAGCAAGAGGTACAGACACCCAGTGAGTGCAGCATCCTTGGCCCTAGGCCACACTCAGGGCCATGCTTCTTAGAAACCTGTAACTGTCAAGGGTTCCTAATGATACACAGCTGAGAGGACGGAGGTCAGAAGTTATGAAGGCTACCAAACAAGGTCTTCATCTCACCATATGATCCAACACCAGCTCCCTCTGCCTGGCAGGCACGCCCAGCTGGCACAGGGACAGCCAGCACTTTATATACTTGGCATTTAATCTGACTTTTGGGACAAGCTTTTTCTTTAGAAAAAGTTCTAAAACATCATCAAAACTAATAATAGTAACAACCCATGTTCCAAGTAGCTTTCCTCAGGAGCGCCAGTACCCACAAAGAAGCCTTAAAAATATCCAATCTGCTTCAACCACTCAAATGAAAATGTCCATCTACCAAAGAAAACATACCAACTAAAGGAAAAATAAAACCCAGTCCCCAGCAGAATGAACTATACAACAACAGGATGTGTGCCTGGGGCTGCTCCACCACCAGCACTCTGCTCAGGGGCTCACTGCACCCTGCCACCAGCCCAAGGGCCCAGGGATGCAGGCACAGAGCCAGTCCTGACTTTGCTGAGGCAAAGACCACACAGCAGAGCCAACTTCCTGAAGACTGGCCCAGGCTGACACGCCACCAGGCGGGACCTGCAAGCTGCATCTCATTCTGAGGACTGAAGCAAACATTTCTCAAGTGAACAAAACAAGCCTAGGTTACGTGTTTGGCAGTTACACGTTTCCCTACTCTGAAGGCTGCAACATCTTCTCATAAGAATGCTGGGCCTCCCTAGGTTAGGAACTAAAGAGCTTGATGCACTCAATGTCCTGCCTCTGCTCTGTGAGTAACCAACAAAGAAGCAGAGGGTCCCAGACAGAAGTAGAAAATAATCAGCACTCAGAAATTAGGAGGAAGCAGCCAGAGGGAAACCAATGCCTGCTCATTTCAGCCCACACCAGCTCTATCCATGGGTGTCTGAAGTCCTGCAAGAGACCTGAGATTTCCTTCACCATTAATACGCTCACTTAAAATGGCAATGTAGGGGGCTGGGGATGTGGCTCAAGCAGTAGCGCGCTCGCCTGGCATGCGTGCGGCCCGGGTTCGATCCTCAGCACCACATACAAAGATGTTGTGTTCGCTGAAAACTAAAAAAAATAAATATTAAAAAAAATTCTCTCTCTCAAAAAAAAATGGCAATGTATATCTAATAAGCTTCATGTGAGAACTTAAAGGCATCAGAACAAACACCTGTGATGTTTTAAAACACTTTTAAAAACCTTCAAAGCCAAACAATAGCTTGGGGGGGGTGATACTCACCCATGGGTGCCACCAACTATAGTGCCTTCAAACCCACTCTAAGAGGAGCAGCTGTGTTGAGCCATACCCCCAGGCCCCTACAGGACAGCAGAGCTCACAGCCTGTCCCCAGCTTTGCAGAGGCAAGTGACCCACAGCAAGTGCTCATGGGAAATGTTCAGAGTGCTCAACCATTCCTGAGAACATGTATCCATGTCAAGTCACTTTCCAACTTAGGGAAGAGAGGGAAACAGAACTAGAAGGCAGGGAAGCCTGCACGCTTACCGTGGAGAGGGCGGGGAACACGGTGTCTCGGTGACCTGGGTCTTCCTGGCATCCAGTGTCTGGAAATGGGCTATCAGGGCTTCCAGGTCTTCCTAGGGCACACAAGCAGCCAACATGAGACTCTTTCTAGAACCTGCCATGGAGCCAAAAGCCTGGCCAGCTTTCCTCCAAGGTCACTTGGATCAGACTGGTCCAGTCACATCTGTGAATCACAACCTGCTCTCCCTGGGTTTGAAATGCACAGGGCTGAACACATTCAGAAAACACAGAGCTGGGGACACAGCCCAGTGGTGGAGCACTTGTCCACCTTAACTTCAGCACCCAGGCCCAGGGTGCCCCCGCCTGCCCCGTTTGATAACAGTACCTGGTCTTTGTCTTGATCTTGTCTGTCCTGTTCACACCCCCACCTACCCCCATGATAAAATATGAGCTCCAACAGAGAAGCATTAGAGTCAGGTTGGGACAGGGCCTGCATAGAGGCTCAGAGACCCCTACTGCCAGCTGTGGCCGCAGACCTAAAGCTGAGGTGCTGATGCACTGGCACAGCTGGGCAGCTCTGGAGGCCAGTCTTCCGCCCTGCCCAGCCCTCACTCCCTGCAGGCACCAAGTACACCCCACTCCCACAGCTGGTGCAAGGCCAGTCATCTGGAAAGCGGCCTGCAGTCTCCTCGCAAATGCACTCCCTCACCTTGTTCGCACTGAGACCTGGGATCTGCCTCTTTCATTCCTCCGGCTCGCACACTTTGTTCCCACATTCTGCAGAGCTGGAAGTTCAGATGTCCTTCTAGCACTTAAGACACTTTCAGAGCAACCTCCCTCTTACCAACCCAACACTGGCCTCTGCACACAGCTCCATGGGCCTCAAAAGTTACCCAAACCCCTTTCCTCAGCACAGGTCAGATAAACAGCAACTTTTAAAAAGTCTACTAAGCACAAGGAGGACACAGGAAGCTGACACAGGACAACGATCAATGACCTAGTTAACGAAGTGTGCCTTGTTCTCTGGATCACATCATCTCAGATTCTTTCTAAGGGACAGCCCAGGAAAGTGAGCACTGCCGAGGTCCACCCTGTCCAGCACACTTTAGGGAACGTCTTCAATCTCCAGCACCCAAGAAGGTCACACAAATCCCTTAAATTCCAAGCCAATCTCACTCAACCTTCTTAACCTGCAGGCTTTATCTGTTCAGGGAAAACACAATCTTTGAAACCAGAAACAGTCTCAGGCCAGGAGTGTAGCTCAGAGGTATACCCTGCCCAGAGCGCACACTAGAGATAGTTCTTGAGGTCAAGGAATGCACAGAGATTTTTCCAAGTTATGGCCCTGAGGCTGCTCTGATGCAAGGGTCTGTCTTTCCTGCCACCTCCATCTGTCAACTGTCCACTCAGTCTCTCAGCTCTGTTCTCCCTGGAAGCTCCTTTCTGCGCAGTCCCTGTTGTCTCCAAGGCTAGGCTTACTGAACCTCCATCTTTCTGAGCAGTGTCTTTAAAGCATTTCCACATAGTGCTGAGAAACAAAAAGGCAGCAAAATAACCTGAAAAGGGTAGGAAAATTTCAGAAATCTGCCTAAACCTCTTAGTCCTGAATGATCTATGGCTATAACATCTTTGCATCCCAGACACCTAGCACAATACCAAGCAGGGAAGTTTACTGAATAAGGTAAAACAAAGGAAACAGATAGATGTCACAGAAACCAAGGAAATCCAAAGTTTCAAGAAGTGGGTAGCTGATCACACCATTTAAGAGGAATCAAGTAACAGGAGGACCAAAGCCGCCCTTCTGGGTTTGAGATGAGGTAAACTTTTTTTTTGCCAAGACTAATTATTAGAGAGATGCAGGCAGGTCAAAGTGTGACCAATTAAGAGTTCAATTAAGAGCTGGCTGACTAATGATGGTAAGGCAGGAAGACTCTGTGCACTACTATTTGGGAGCCTGGCTATGGTGGAGACAGGGAGGGTGGTAACTAGAAGAGCACACAGGGAAGTACACATAGGGAGTGTAGGGAATTTTTGGCAGAGAGCCCAAATACTTGCAGGGTGGTCATTTTGATGCCCTTTTAAAAACTACTCCCATCTACAAACCGCTCAACCTCAGCATTGTCAAGAGGCCATCTTCTAGGTCTGGTTGACTGCAGTACTGATGATATCACTGGATCTGCTTAGAGAATAGGCTACAGGCACAATTTGGGGGTTAGAACCCTTAAAGCTAAACCCAGCCTTTCACAAATGTCACATATAAAAGGACTTCTAAGTTGGGAAGGCCAAGGCAGGGGTGTAACCAGCTGTCTTTACCTGGTCAGACCCTCTGGCACCTGGAGCCCAGTGGGAAGCTCCGTCTGTCTCTCTCCCACGCTTCATGTACAGGTCTCTCTACTGAGAGAGCCATCACTAGAGTCCACCCCAGAGGAATGCCTGGCACTGGGGCTCTTCTACCTGAATCTGGCTTCTAGTTAATGAGATGCTTGCTCCTAATCTTTTTAGTAGGTTCTTTCCTAACAAAAGGACAGGACATTCTGGAACATAAAGATAGGAATGGGAGGCAGCTGGAGAGCCATTTTGCAAGTAAGAAGAAAAGTGAAGTGTCTCCACTGAGGTCCACCATCTATTCCTACCATGGAACATCCAGGCTTGAAGACGACCAGCAAGCTGAGGCAGGACAGAAGAGACAGCTCTAGGTGGACAAGTGACTTACTTTTCCTACCCACCACAGTGAGCAAGACTGATGTGGAGCTGCAGCAATGCTCAGGCCCATCACTCCCCCAGATTCATCTTCCAGCAGTGCCCACAGAGGCCTTGAGCTGGGGTGCCACCCAGGTGCGCCCGATCTGGACGACCAGGGAACTCCCACTGCCTATGGCCTTTCTGGTGTCAGTAAGCATACTGAGTGGGCCCCAGGGGCTATCAATGACTTCCAACCTTCTGAGAGGCCTGTTTCTTAAGGTCACCTGGAGGGGACTATAATAGGGCAGCTAAAAGCTGGGGGTTTTGTTTCTTTTTCAGCCAATAACTTACCCCAGTTTGCTTCTGCCCTGTCTCTATTATTAAATACCTTCAAGGCCTCATTAACCAGAGTAGCTACAGGTGTTTGATGTCCCTGTTCTAATTTTTGCAATTTTCTCCTAATATCTGGGGCTGATTGAGAGATTGAAGCCATGACTATCAGGGTCTCTCTCTCTGCTGAGTCAGAGGGAGAGTGTATTTTCTGAAACCTTCTGTCAGCCTGTTTAAGAATGCAGCTAGGATGAGGGTTGTGGCTCAGTGGCAGAGTGCTTGCCTCACATGTGTGAGGCACTGCGTTCAATCCTCAGCACCACACAAGTAAATAAAGTATTGTGTCCATCTACAACTAAAAAGGAAAAAAAAAAAAAAAGAATGCAACTGGACTCTGTCACAATTCACAGGTTTAACCGTGTATCGCTTCCTGCCCTCTGCAAAGCAGGTGACAGAGTGCTCTGTCTACTCCCTATGGACAGCAAAGCTGTAACACCTAGGATGGCATCGCTGCCTGCCTTGCATACGCTGCCACCTGGGGGATGATACATACCCATCAGCCACGCCTATTCCTTAGCATCTAATTCTAGCCTCCCACCTGCAGGGCAACAATGAGCCAGGTCTACCATCACATCTCCCCAGGTAAGCCGAGATGAATTAGCTTTATGAATTCATCCCAGAATTTTTCCTCACATAATCCAAATCTGTTAGGAAAAGGACAGACACACCACTGAGACTTCCTTCTCCATTAGGTACTTCTCTCAAGAGTATAAACCCCATTAGCTGGTCCTAATTTTGTCCAAGAATAAAGTCTCCCAGGAAAGGTCAGGGCTGGTTTCTCAGGGTGGAGTGGAGGGGCAGGAGGGGACTGGTGCCACTAAGGAGATGGCAATGGAAGGATGGCATCAGAGGGGCAGAAAGGGCAGACGACCCTGAATTCAGCCTTGATGGGAAAGGACCTGTGAGAGCAGGTCATTGAGAGTTTGTTTATGACCAAGAGGTCCTAGTCCTTGTGGTGCCACCCAGTTTTGAAAAATAAATAGGATTCCTCTCCCTAGAGAAAGAAAAGGTGAGGAGTCTAGGGCTCTCAAACTCCCCTGCTTCCTACATGCCAGGGGACTCAAACCCCCCTTTTCACGTGGACCTGCCAACTACTTTGGGGACCAGACCTGTGTTCTAGTTAGCAGCTGCCAGGGTGTTTAGCCCTGATAAGAGCCTCCTGTGTCAGGGATGCTGACTCCCAGTATCACAGAGGCTTCTGCACACCTGTGCCCTGATGTGAGCAGGGACTGAAAAATAGAATAAGACACAAAGAGAGAAAAGAGAGAAAGCAGGAGAGTAGGGAAGTGAAGAAAACAGATGGGGAGCTATGCCTGCAAGATCAGGAGGGGAGGGGAAGCCCTGCCTGCAGGAAGAAACAAAGTGACTAGGGAAAACTGGAGGGCAGATCTCTTGTCAAAGCAACTATTCCGGAAAAAAGACCTGGGTGGCCACACTGTCACAGTAATATTGCATTAGGGAGTTCCATGTTCCTCTCACAGTGTCCTACCAGACACCAAAATGATGCCCAGAGGCAGACACTGGGATCTTTTGGAATCCTTTTTTTTTTTTTTTTTTTAAAGGTACGTGGTACTCAGGGTAGCTCTGCCATTGAGCGACATCCCTAGCTTTCTATTTGTTCCTAAGTCAGTCTTACTAAGTTGCCCAGGCTGGCCTCAAACTCAGGATCCTCATGCCTTAGCCTCTTGAGTAGCTGGGATTATAGATGTGCACCACCACACCTGGCTGGAACTGGGATCTGTTGATGTGATGACCAAAAGTCAATCTGAGTCGGGTGGGAAAGCACACAGGCGACTGGGAACTGCAGGCAATATTGGGGCTACCATTTAGGAGAGGAGACTGAGCGCCAACAAGATGACATCAGGTTGGCTCTCTGAACAAGAGAGGTTTCACTGGTGATTTGCAGGGGTGGGAATGGTAATCGCACTCAACTCAGGTGTTTTTGCCCTATGCTAAAGACATGAGAACACACACAGGGCACCCTGACATCAACAATGCAAAGCTGATACTGGCGGAGGGTGGCTCACACCAAGCCTCCTGGGCCTGCTGACAGGCCAGGATCGAAGGCCCGCTGCACCTTTGCCCTCTCTCTGGTGGTCCCTGTCTCCATTTGAGACACTAAAACTATCATTATGATTCAGTCACAGCTTATTTGCCCACCTTTGCGGCAAAGAACAACTCAGATAACATCCTCCCCACCCTTTCTTTGACAAATACTACTACCATGACCATTCTCAAGGCCGTCTTCCTGGGGAGAAGGAAGTTTTTCCACAAGAAGTTCTCAGATATGACTGAGAGCTAAGCATTCACTTTCCTGGATACAAACTGGAATCCAAAGGTAGCTCCTCCAATCTATGCTCACCAGCAGGCCATGGAAGCACCCATGGTTCTGCTCCTTTGTGTCAGTTATCTGCAGCCATCCAAGGACCACCACGTCCCTGACAAAATATACTGTATTCTATACTCAAGACATTTTACTGAACAAATGGAAGTTTACAGAAGACCTGGAGGAAGAAGGGACTATTGGAAGATGAAGAAGGAATGGGCTGCAAAGAGGGAAATGGGTGGGATAGGGAGTAGCCCTGGTGTGCAGCTGGCACTGTGCCCCACAGACCAAGGCCACCCATGTTAGTAACCCAATCTCAGTGGGACAAAGGAGTCCCACTGTGCCTCTTGTTGGGAGTCAGGCTTTGTCCGGATTTCCCAGACATAGGAAAATGTGTACAGCTGGGAGGGGCAGTGTCACCAATCATAAGGACAGGGTGGGGCATCTCCCACCATCCCCAGTTCTCCAGCAGCCCCACCACATGCCTGCATGCTGAATCCTCATCAGCAGCACTTGTTCCTACTACTCTGGCAGCACCTCTTAGCCTCAGCTGAGGCTCCTGATAATCAGGAAGGAGCAGGGGCTGGGTGGTACAGATAGTGTAGTCAGTGAGAGTCTCTCCAGGTGATGATGATAAGCTGTAAGTCGAAAAGAGCCAATCACGAGGAATGTGACTCAGGTAGAGGTGAGGAAAAAAAAAAAACATAATCAGGAAGAACTTGGTGCAATTGAGACATCAAAATAAAGGTGGTATGGCTGAAGGAGTTAGCCTGGGGAGGGAGTTGGAGAAGTGTCAGAGGCCAGGACAGAGACAAGCTATCAGCCAGGTGGTCAGGCATGTGGGCTCCGTGGCAGAATTCCCAGCTTCCTCCAAGACTTCACTGCCTTCTCGAGGATCTACAGGACTGTGAAATGATGGGACATCACTCCCATAACGAGGTGTTATATGGCACAACTAACTTGAAGACAAGGAGATCATCCTTTGTGGGGTTGGCCTGATCATCTGACCAGTGACCCCAAGGGTTTGTTTTGAGAAAGAATCAAGACTGCGTGGAAGGTCCGAGGGAAGCTCTCTCTGTGGAAGACAGTGGTATCATCATCTACCCAGCACAACTGGGAGTCCCAGCAAAATGTATAAAGATGAGGTTCTGAGTACCAAGCACTGCTTTCAGAGGTCACACAGATGAACTGACTATACCACAACCCTAGGCAGGAAAGTCCTGCTCCTCTGAGGCTGTCCAGCTAGTAGCAATGGAGAGACCCAACCCAGACCTGCATAGCCTGTGCACCTAATTGGTCAGGAACCTTAGGTTATTAGAGCTTAAAGCCATTTGAAAGGAAAAGACCAACCTATTATGTGACAAATGAGCAAATGGAGAGATGAGCATCTTAAGGAGAAAGGTGTGAAGGAGTGGCCAAGAGCTCTGGACTGGATTGGGAGTATCTGGTCAAATCCCAGCTCTCCACCACTTCCTGGGCGTGTGACCTGTTGTCTCGGGCTTCCCAACGGTCCAGGGGAAGAGCCGGTGCTACCTAACTCAGGCAGCTGTGAGGGCGAAAGCCCAGAGAGCCCAGTCCTGCCATGCCACAAACGCGCGCCACACCGCGGCCGTGACCACCACCTCAGTGAGGGAGGCCTGGAGCACAGGTCAACAGAAAGCACCAAGTCTCCCCCACGGACAGCACTGAGGTCCCCGGGTGAGGGGCGGGAGGACAGGGAAACAGGGCAGTGAGTGGCCGTCCACTCGGCGGGATGCCCGACATTTCCGGAGGCTGCTGCGGTTACTTGGCCCCACGCGCTGGCTCCTGGGCGCTGGTGCAGGACTACCTGCCCCTCAGGAGAAGGAGAGGCCCAGGCCCTCCGCTCCCCAGGCTCGGTCCGCTCACCTCCTCCTTCCGCGAGCGCTTGGACGCCTTCTTCTCCATCTTGGCGGCCGTCTTCTCCGCGCCGCGCCCCTTCTTCTCCTTCTTGCCCTTCTTGCCCATGGCGCTGCGGCCACGGAAACCAGCACACCAGGGAAGGAGCGCGGCCGGCCGGAAGCGGGGCTCCGCGCGCGCGGTTGGCGTCACTTCCGGTGGGTCGGCCGC